TATAAAATCGATCTTTTAATATTTTAATTAGTCTATCCCTAATAAAATCGTTTTTTTTAATATCTTATATTAATATTAACTTTAATAGTTTATAAGATTTAATAATTATTAATTAATTATAAAGTAAATTAGAAATACTACGAACTTAACTATAATAATCTTTAAGTTAATTAAGTAAAAGCGATCGATATAATTACTAAATATCTAAAAAGTATAAATCTACTCTTATTATCTTAATTATAATAATTAATTAATAAAAAAGTTTCTATACTTTCTTAATATTAGAGATAGATTAATAATATTTTATACTAAATATAAAATATAAATCTTTTAATAAAATAAATTAATTTTAGAATAAAGTTTTTAAAGTTTTACTATAAATTAAGATATAAAGTTTCTTTAGTAATTTTAAAAGAAAAATAAAAAGAAAAAGTTTAATTAAAAGAAAATATTAAAAAAAAAAAAAAAATATTAAGTATAAAATAAAATAATAAATAATTTAATTAAAAAAAATTATTAAAAAAAAAAAAAACCCTTCTTAAATAATTTAAGAAAGAAATATATCTTAAAGAGATAACTAAATTTAAAATAAAGAGAATATTTTCTAGGGCTATATTCTTTAATATTCTTAAATTTTACTATTTCTCTTATTAAGGATAGTAAACTTTACTATTATTTTTATTTATAAATAAAAAATAATTAAATTACTATATTAAATCTTAATTTTTAAGAAAAAGCTAAATCCTTTATAATCACTACTAAGAAAATAAAAAGTTATATTAAATTATCTTAAAATTTAGTGAAGAGAGAATTAAAGAGATAGTAATCTACCTTAAAACGATAGTATAACGATAAGAAATCGTACAATTATATAATTACCCGCGTTCGATAGCGCTGGATAAGTCGAGTATAGTGCACCTATCCCTTTCGAGATTGTCGACGGTGGACGCGCATAAGACGAAAGGTGCACTACCTAGGTGCACCACCTGGAATCGGAGAATACTGGCTCGCCCGATTGGCCGCCCTACCGAGGTACACTATATAATGCCGGGCCGCCTCTCGGCTAGGGTAATCTACGATGAACTAACGTAGGCTTCTTAGATCTCGCTTACTGAGATTTATAAGTTACTTTCGTAAGTGCTTCTTAATTTTAACCTATAGCTAACTAAACCTTACAAAACTTGGCAAACTTTGGATTTCTGGTTTAATAAATAAACGGGTGTTGATATCCGCGTTACTCGACGATAAAAACTGAGATACTTTTAGGGATAGCCTGCTGGATAGGCAGAGTACAGCGATAGTGTTCAATTAATCTATTAGGTATTCCTAGACGTGGCTGTTATACAAGACTCAAAGCTCTCATACGAAGAATGTTCGACATATATCCTTAGTGGCCTTGGCGTTCCTTGGCGTATCCGGTTGTGAAGCTAAATTTAGCGCGGGCAACTACATGTGGTGTATACCTCGACGCCTGCGTAGGTTCAGCAAATTACATCTCGCAAAATTGTTGATGGATCTTAGATTCGATGATTTCCACTGAGTCAGCTCTAATTCACCCATCTACTATGTTGCCTATACTTCCTGCATTGGTCGCGCCCGCTTGCGAAAGAATAAAACTCGGGTTGAGGTGCGAATAGGCTGAGCTTCACATGTGCTGAAAGCTGTGAACCCTCAGCTGAAGCTGTCATTCGTATTTTTGCAGATATCGAAAGTTGATTGGGTCGTTGGAGTTCTGCCTTCTCTAAGTCGCTCTTGGCAATAGCTTTAAAGGGTAAGCACTAGGGGAAGGCTACCGGACCATTAAAACCAATCAGAGCTGTTCCGCTTAACTGCTACTACAGCCTTGACAGACGTTTCGTAGACCTATCACCTGCCGTAAGGAAATATACAAAGTTTTCTATCGTCCTCGCTTTCCACTAAATCGCCCATTACAAAAAGCTCCGTATCACTTCATTCAGTACTGTTGCTCCTAAATCTAGGCGGCACCAAGTCCATGGACCAACTTCACCGTATGTTACCGAACGGCACTCAGGGTGACGCAATATCGAATGGGGAACCGCCTTCTCTCACTTCAACTCCAATCATGAAGAAAAGAATGGACGCTTATTTCGATTCGTAACGGCCCTCACTACCGCGTTAGACATCATCACCACAGCCAGCATAGTGGCCCATCTTATGGGCCACAAGAGTTAACTGATGTCCCTGATTGCAATCGGAGTGGAAGCCCTGGAAAACTTAGCGGACTTTTAGCATAGTGCACGCCAGCAGCGGGATATGGTGAAGCAGAGACCCGTAGCTCTTTTGACTGCAACCATTTTTTGTGGACCATCAGATCTCACTACTCTTCAGCACTGCAGGTGATTGATAATGTGAATCTAGCGCGACACCCAGCTGAATGCTGCTCAGCGGATGAGCTAGCAAAATACAGGAAAGCTTGCACTTCTCATAGCACGTCAAGCTCGGAGATGGCGGCTGAGCTGAAAGAGACGCGTCCGTCAACACGTTGACCATCGCTTCTTGTCAAGGCAATCGACCCTCGGAATTGTATCATAGCCATCGCACGACGCATCAAACGCCTCGAAGTCAGCTGGATGATGTAAATACTAAATTAGGTAGCAGAGGTGATAATGTGTCTTTACAGTGGGGAAACTGAGGGTGTTGTCCGCTGATCCATCGCTTGAATGACATCTTGTGGAGGCTGACAAACAGGAAACGTTTGTACGAAGAGAAATTCCGTGGCAAGATGTTGGCATTAGATCCACTGTGCCGTTAGCTCGAGAACCGTCTCTCGGTGGCATTGCACGCCATTGCTAAGCTGAAGCGGCAGAGACAGACCTCCCAATGGGGCGCATAGCTATCTTGCCGCGATCATATGGAACTTGGCAATTTCCAAGGCATGAGGGTGTAGAGAGCTGTAAAGGATATCTCGGTAGTGTTGAGTCTACTCTTTCCAGCAGCGCGCTGCGCTAGCAACTTCAGCTGGGGCCAAGCTTGGGTATACGTCTGAAGATATCCACTCGGAAGTGCTGCGCACAACTTGTTCCCCGGCAGCTGATCCGACAGACCATCGTGCTGATCAAGTAAGGAACGCTAGTAGAAGAGTACCTCACCGTTACTCGGAAAGAGTATTTACTTCAGAACTGTCGCGTAACATTATTATCTCTTGCTGAAGCATTTAGATCTGCCAGAAAAGCAGTAAGCACAAGTACATATACAACAGCTGTTGTTGTCAGGACCTCCAACTAGTTGGACAATATCTCCCTCAGTATCGTTAGACACAATTCCTCTCCAACCAAGGCATCACTCCTTGTACGAGCCGTAGCTGCCGTAAGACCCGTACGGATTTCCTGCACCAGCGGGCTTGATGTCCTTATAGGAGCCATAGTCTCCGTACTTGCCGTACTTGCCATAATCTGCAGGCGCAGGCTCTGGCTCTGTGTCTCTCTTCTCGGGGCTTGCTATCTCGTCTCGCCTGTAGGCTCCATAGTCCCCGTAGCTTCCATAGGGGTTCGGTGCTCTGTAGGTCAAGGTTAGCAATCTAATGGCCGTCCGCGAGTGGGGAAATTTAGGGCATTACCCAGATGCAGGGATATTGTCGTACTCTCCGTAGTCGGCGTACGCAGGCAGCTTGTAGTCTGGGTCTCACATCAATCACGCTGCCGTCGTGGAGATGAGAAAGAAGGCTTGCCCCCATAATTGCCATAAGAACCCTGAGGTGCTGCAATGACTCCTGTCAATGGCACCAAGGCCAGAAGGAAGACGGAATTGATACTGATGCGCATCTTTGCCTTTGAATAGGATGCTGAAGAGTTGACTCCAGTTCTTTGGATTCTAAGCGAGCAAGCCAGCTTAAATAGCCAAGTTGACATCTTGCATAGTCTTGGTTCTCAGCTCGCTAGTCCTGTGATCCAGTGGTAGACTCTGCCAAGGCCATATCAACAATGTAGAAACTTTTTGTTCGTCATGTTGCGTTAGATCCTGATAGCGTTTGACCGTAGAGATAGATCAAAGCTAGATCAAGGTTTGTCTTATGCAATCGAGTTTCAACTCGCTTCAGAGAGAAGCACTATTGGCTATAATGTACGAGGCCCAAAACAACCATTGGTTGCCATTAGCGAAAGCATAATGAAGACCCCACTAACTACGCGGCTAGAATCGTCTGTTCGTGAAGAGAGCTAGCGCGTAGTAATTGACAGGCCGTCCATATACACTCTTCCCGTGCTGACTTCCTCCGTAGCTCCCACCCAGAAATATTGCCTGGTATGTACCCTCCTAGGAACAATCTTCTAGGAACAATGATATATAATCTGCTCGAAACGTGGGACTTCAGCCGTAAGTGTTATATTATCCGACTTATTCCAACCCCAGGTATCCGTCCAGAGAGAATCAGAACAGTATATAGTAGGTCGTATATGTCCCACCCGCAACGACAATGTGTCCAAACCCGTATCCAGCTTCTGACGATGATGCTGTGGCGGTGTCAGAAGACACAAAATCACATAATAGCTCCGATTTTTATCGTCATTAAACATTGTAGTTCTCTCAGCCTCGTATTCGATTCGGCGGCAAGATGAAGGCTCAGGCAGAATGCCTAGGTGGGAAGTTTGAGACTGCATGAATACACCATAGTACGCAGCTCTTACGTGGTCGTTGCCATCTTGATAGGGGCAATACAAGATTACAGATAGCGCCGGAATGATGGTCTAGGATAAAGCTGGTAGAGTTGGGAAAGTTGGGAAAGTTCTGGGGTTTCCCTCGTGTACAGTATACGAGGTGTGCCTTGGCGGCCTATCCTCGCTAGTGACAAGGGCCTGACCTCTTCCAACACGGGCAGCTGCCCCTCCGGATTTGAACTAGATTACATTAATTATTTATTTATAGTAAAGAACATTCGATATTCCGGTTCCTATCTACTTTCAATGCTCACAGACCCTCAATTCTAATAGAAGGTCCCGTGACTAGGCTGTATGCCTCTAGCAACGCTTTCTCGTCGAGACAGTATGAAGGCCTCAGCCCAATTCGCCGATGCTCCAGATGATCCTGAAAGCCTTGTGAGCGAAGATGAGGCAATGCTTGGGGCGAGGGCCCCACTAACGACGAGATACGCCTACTCAGCATATAGTATATGCGTCTCTTTATGTCTTGCGTTTTTCATTGGACTCGTTCTGGGACTCCTCAACCGCTGCCGCCTATACTCACCAAGTTACAATCAATGTGTGAGACTGACGACTCACTCCAGTGAGTGTTGATAATTCTGACCGAAGCCACTGTTACTGAGTCACTAGCCCCCCTCCTTGAGGATATAACGGTATCCTACAACAAGTTGACCTATAATGGCACCTTTACGACCGAGAATATCTATAGGCAATCAGCAGCTCTGGAGGTTGATGAGGCATGGGAGGCACTTGGTGTCAACTGTGAGTTTCTATGCCAGTATTACGTTGCTCTGCGGGCTAAGTGATATGGAAGACCGAAGTGTCAGAATACCACCCGACAGAGCAAAAGAAGCAGGCTTGCGAAACAACCAAGTTCAGATCAACTCGAAGTATGGTGGAGGCTTTCCAGCAAATGTGGAAGGGTTGCACCACCTGCATTGCCTGGTGAGGTGGGCCGTTCATTAAGCATCAAGTCTGTTCTGACAATAATGCCAGAATCTTCTCCGACAAAGCTTATATTACAACTTCGACTATTATAAGGCTAAGAGAAAGGGTGCATTCAGAAACAATGACGATATACTGAAACTCCATGTTTGTAAGTAGGCAGACCTCTCCCTGGGGCGGGCCATACTGATATGATGGCAGCGCACTGCCTCGATATCCTACGACAACAACTTATGTGTACGGTCGATGTGGGTGTCTTCGGCCAAGTCTGGTATAGGCCATCGCCTGGTTCGATGCCAGCGGCCTTCGTGGACTTCAGTACGCAGCACAAATGTCGAAATTATGATGATATTCGTAGGTGGGCAGAGGCAAGGCAACTACCGAAGGATGTGCCAGAAGATTTCCTTCAGCCCCCGTATGACGACTCGATCATACTTGATGGGGTGCCATAGAGGCGGATTTGCACGAGCGTAACGAGGCATACAGGTCTGCTATGAGCAGCAAAAGCGCACCACCGTCAACAGAGGCCTATACTACTGCAATGCACCTGGGAGTCTTTATCACCCATGGTCCACACTACACTGGTACTAGGGATGTGAGGTAGCGGAGATTTTATCTGTCTGGAGTGATTTCCGCTTCAGTATAGCATTCGCACCACATTCCGCAGATCGTCCGTAACTTGCGCTGGCAGTTACGGTCGAGGTTTGAGCATGTCCATAAAGCTAAGACCGGTTCAACCTACCAGTAATAAGTATATTAAACGCCTTTCTCCTTGATGACATGTTCACTCCTTTTCCGCCTCTAGATCAGATACCTAGATCAGCAAATTTGACAGCGCTAGAGTCGCTTCGAGCGTAGGGTCGGAGTTTATGTATGCAGTTGTGCTGGACCCTTCGGCTTACAAGGACCTTTCCAGATATACACGTGTCTGCCAAATCCTTCTCTAGGTTTGTGTGGCTTTTTTAAGGCTCGCTTCCCCGGACTGAGCTTTGCGGGGTCAGCAATGGCACGGCGTCCTCGAATCAATTTTCTAGCGAGGAGTTCCAGAGCAAACGACGTTCTTCAGCTTGGATTTCACAAGATGAAGCGACAAGCGCTCGTATTGCATGTCGCGACCTACGATTTCAGCTCCTGGTTACATGCGCTTTGGTACGGGTGTCGCTCGCCACAAATGCTAGCCGCAAATATAGTTTCGTTCGAGCCAGTTTGACTCATGCTAGTTTCTTCAGCAGGCGGCATTATAAGAGAGCTTTTGGGCACTCTGGTTTCTTCCTTCCGCCTCTGTTAGCCAATACCAACAAAATCTACGAATACAAGATCTGATTCACGCTTTGATACTATTTCGAATCAATGATGGCGGGTCAATCATTAACTATACCTACCCGGAGCCCTGCACAAGGGGGCTATTGGGTTACTCGACAGAGGCAGGATTTGGTAAAAAGAGCGGCTGACAAACTCATTGCTGCCAACAAGGAGAGAAGTAGCGCGTACGATTTGGACGTTAGGGCTCAGCAACTGTTTCAGGAATCAAGGGATATCTTTCAACTGCTGCAATCTGGGGAGGTGACTGCAGGGTGTTCGGCATGGAATCACATGGTCAGGATGATGACCATTAAAGAGGGACAAGCGAGAGAGCTTGAACGCCAATCTATTCAAAAGTCACTAAGAGCAGAGCGCGATTCAGCTGAATCCGAGGAGTGCACTAGGGTGGCGAGGTCGTTGGAGCCATACGAAAAGAACTCGCCAGCGCAGGAGGCGAAATGCAGGCGTGTCCACTATCCTTTCCTGATCAAAAGCACTTTATATTTCGTTACTTAGCTTATTTTGGTCAATTGTCTTGGAGCGTGCGATGAGGCAATACTGGCCAGTTGAGGCAAGGTTCCTAGCACCTATTAAAGTCTAGCCACCTTAGCAGGCAAGCAAACAGCAAAATGCTGGTACTACTCAGTAGAGATTTATGCATTGATCAGCGGCTGTGCTTGAACCACCTATCTCTTCATCTATTGCAAGAATCGCTGTCTCCAATTGTGTAAGTTGCTGATGTTCACAGAATCCGAGGGCCCCAGGAATATACCGTATTGGCACTTCGTAATATCGCTCGGAAACTCTATCCCTTGATTGCATTATTGGTCCAAACCCACGTGGCTTGACGACCTTCAGCCGCACCTGAAGAGCCAGCTGTTCCATCCGCTAGACCGTCGACGCAAGCGAGAAACGCAGCATGTCAGCTGACATTGGATTGGTGCCAGTCAGCCAGGGCTACGGACTAGGGTCAACGGCCCATGGCAATGTTAGTCGGGCTTGCAACACGAGTGGCATAAGCTTTTACGAATTCGAGGCGTGCGGGGTGAGTATGGTAGCGGTCTCGTGATATCTATTATGAATCCCTCCACATAGGTTTACCACTCGTTGTAATTCTAGAGCGTACTCTCGAGCAGCTATAAGCGTAGCCGTTAAGCTCACTAGATCTTCGTGGTCACTACCTAACGTCAATATATTTATATTAAGTATAACGCTCTATATCTTTGAGTACCGTAGTTTTAACGATGGCAACGATCTATTTCGTATTGAGCGCGAAGGGTTATATTATTTATATTGAAGATAAAAGGACCGTATTTAGATAAAACTATAAGCTAACTTAAAGAATAATTTATCGATAAATTAAAGTTCGCTAATAAAGAGAATATTTTTAGATTGAGAGAGAAGGGCTTTCTAACGGTATAAATTTTATAAAATTATTCCAAGTTTAAAGATCTAAACTTAAACGGTTGTGGTGGCATAGAGTGGATAATCCTATAGTATCAACTACAATCTAAACCGTTTCGGTCAGTCTTCCACAAGCCTTCGACTTTGTCTCATTCCGGAGCCGTTGTGAAAGCTTTTCCCCTTCTATGCAGTTACGACCATATCTCGCAATTGCAATGGTTCCTGGTCTCGCGAGTTGGGCGAGTTTCCAGCCTGAGCTGAATGAAATGGCATCGTTCTGGGGAGGATTGTGATGCTCGCTACTAAGGCGAATTCGAGTTGTCGGCGCAGGAAAATGCAGAGCCTACAATCAGACATCGATCAGCCCTAGCATACAAATCCTTTCCCTAACCGGGTGCAGAGGCCGGGACCCGTTGCAAGACCATAAAGAAGGCGATGACTCAACTATATTGCTAACTTTGTATGCATCGATGATCAATTGGACGGTGCTGTAGGTGCCTCCGACCTACAGGAAGCTTCCAGTCAACATCAACAGGGTGTGAAAGGTAAATACCGCCTTCTGATTAAACGAGCCGCGAAGGTATTGGGAGTGGTCGTGCACCCAAAACCAGTTGGGTAGAATGATAGCCAAGGGTGAAAAACATATCGAGCCCGTTAGCGCGAGAAGGTAGTTGAAGATGGGAATGGCTGAGGCAAGGATGAACGCAATGGCACCGAGGCCAACTGTGCAACCGCTGGAAGTCTTCTGTCAGTAATGCGATCTTTTCCGTCCTCCGGGTGAGCTTACAGCCTTGTGGCCCAATGAGTCAGCGTGTTGGCTTGGAGGCGTGCAGTGTTGCGGAGCATGCGAACGAACAAATACTTGGCTGCTACCTGTTGGTGGCTGTCATCGCGTTTGCTCATGCTTCTAATGGTGGGTTGACCCTACGTGAAGATACAAGCAGCCGCTGACTGCCAGACCGACAAGGCCAACTCCATAGGCCACCTTCTTCACGACAGGCTCTGCACTCTGCCTTAAAGTCAGCTGGCACGATAGGAGGTCCTCAAATGAACTACATACACCAAGTGAGGGATTCGCGACCCATTGTCCACACCAACGATAAACCACGAGGCTGAAGGCGAGGTACGCGGCATTGAGGACTGCCATGCAGGTGAAAAAGGCTTTCTTGTAATCCGTTGGGTTCTTCATCTCGGCAATCACGGGCATGAATGAGGAGGTTTCCGATGAGGACACGAAGATGGTGGCGGAGGCCGTCATGCCAGCGATGAAACCTGGATGTCCGATGACATGGTAACCCAAGTCAAAATCACCGGTCTGAGGGCCACTGGCAGGCCGATCTATGGTTGTCACGCCAATCCTGGAAAGCAGCATCAGTTACGGGTGAACATGACATCGCGGAGAATGGTTTGCCATACACAACGATCAAGACGGCGATAAAAATCGAGGCGAAGCCTGCCCAGGTGATCCAGCCAATCTTCTGGAATGTCCTAATGCGTGCTAGGATGATCACCACGATGGTCGCCAGGAATGACCACCAGACCGTGCAAGCACCATGATCCGAAAGAGCGTTAATTGCGATGGAGACTCCAAGAATGCCCGAACCGCTGACGAGAACGAAGCTGAAGAGATAACGTGAGCATACATTCTCGGGAGGGGATGTTGATGCTCTCTAACTTACCTAACGAGGTACAGGAAACCAACCAGCTCTTTGAGCCAGACGCCACCGACAAGGTTGGCCATGTCAATGACGGTGTGGCATTGAGCGTGCTTGGATCTGAAATCGCCCAGATTTGAGGCAGTATCTGCGAGAGGACATCTTTAGCATGTGCATGCGACATACTTCCACTTGAACTTACAAGTGTTGAGGGCGCCCCATCCTATGACTGATAAAGCTCCACCAAGTGCTCCTGGAACGGTGAGCACGTAGAATATGGGAGAAAGGACTTTCTCTGGACCGTACCAAGATTGTACATTGCACCCGGGATGCTGAGGACACCAGGGGCGAACATGACTGCGCAGATCGGGTGTCAGTCTCGTCGCGTGTTGACTCCCAGTACGGTCAAACTCACGTTTCAGGAAGATGATGGCCGCCACTGGCCATTTGACAGTACGAAACCGGACACCATCCACCGTTTTCTTGAAGACCTCATGCTTCTCGTCGTCTCCAATGGCGATGTCCTCGGCGCCCTTCCTCTCGGCCTGAGCAGAAAGCATTTTTGTCTTCCATAACCACAGGCCCGGATATCTCAACCATGGTCATTCGCCGAGTCGACTAGTGTATGAGGATCAGATGGGGCTTCGAGAAGCTCTTTCAACAGAATCCGAAATGAGATTCCATCCAAACACATCGCGGCTGCCGATCAAGTCGATGGATACCCTTATATACAGCATACACCTGTTCCTCGATGGGCTGGTCCAAATTCGTTATCACGACCAGGGCGTCTTGAGTTGACGGGGCCCCGAAACATGTCTGAACCATATCCATTTCACGCAACAAATTCTGCATGCCGTTATAAATTCAGCATAATGGCCTCTTTCTCAGTATTTGATCTAGAGCAGAGGCTTGACTCTGGTACTGCAGACCCGGAGGTGACCACCCTAACAACCCCCTATGTCTTCAAATCTGCGGTTGACCATCTTTCTTCGAACTGTTCTCCAGCCGACTTTCCCGTCTGTGACGTCCCGGAGCCATGTAATGGACTCATCAACGTTGTCATAGTCCCGTCAAAGAAAAAAGGAATACTGTATCGGTCCTCCGTTATACTTTTGTTGACCACTCGATGCAGCTCGCTTCGGTATTGCCCGTGAGTCCAAGCAGACAAAACGTCACCAATGTTGACCACGTAGATATTCTCCACCGTTGGAACAGGGATCCAAGACTCTCGAGCCGGGTGCAAGACTTCAAGGCCTTCTTGACCAGGGTGCTGCAGAAGGAGGGTGATGGCGCCGAAATCAGTATGAGCGCCGGCTATTTCAACGCGTGAGTATGGCTCGATGCACGCAAGGGTCAGGACTTATGATAGCCTCTAGGGGAAGGGCTCAAGGTGAGACTCACCTCCCACAGCTTTCTCGCCATCTTGAGCTTGCGTCGGATAATGCAGCAACTTTACGGAAGCAACAGGATCCCGCATGAAATCATCAAAAACATCGTCGCCATATGGCAAGCCTTTTGCCAGGATTTTCATGATCTCTGTTGCCAGTCGAAGCATATGCTCTCGATACTCCATGACCGGTGCCTTGAAATCCTCCTGTGGCATGTTTGGCCAGAGATTTGGTCCATAAAGATAGGTCCCGTAACTTGGGTCATTTGCGGCCACATCTCTTTCAATGCGCATAGCCTAGTCTGTGGTATCAGTCCTGTAGAACTCTCATTTCGGATACCGCAATGCGTTACCTCCTTCTGGTCCGGTGTTTGTCCGGCCTGTAGTGCCTGCGACCCGATCACTTCATACCCTCTCCCTGACACTGGGTCCTTAGCCAAGCCCATTTTCTGTTCTAGAGGAAGGGAGAAGAATTTCTTTGCGCAATCGAATATCTCATGTTGCTATGCGAGTGGGATCCCATGTCCAACGAGCTGGAAAAACCCATAGGTCATGCATGCGGCTCGGATGATTTTGACGACGCCGTCAGGGTTACTGCCGTCCAGCCACGGCTGTATGTCGATAGTGGGTATCTCACTGTTAGCTGCAGCCATTGAGATTTCGAGAACTTTGCAGCATAGAAATGGCTGAAAGGAATTGCTGAAGAGATTTCTTGCCCTTATAGCCATCATGAGAATATTCCTTGCCTTTCTCGATTGTCGCATATCCGAAGTGGGACGCACTGTCGTCTCTTGAATTCTGTGAGGCGACAGGGCGCATCTTGACCACTGTCAACGCTAGACCTTGACTAGTCTCCTGGGGCGATAACAATCGGAAGGGGGTCAAGGTATCGTCGCTCAAGGCCCGAGAAAGAGGGTGTTGACTTAGTCATCCAAGGTAAAGGCACTCTTCCATTTTGTCTAGGTATCTGCGATTGTCATTCAGGCCATCGATGTACAGGTTTGCATTCGCCAAGGGGGAATACATGTGAAGATCTCGGTAAGATATTAACCTCTCATGTAATAGTCGTTCCTACAGGTGCGGTAGACTAAGTGCTGGAAGCTCAACTCTATGCGTCCAAGCAAAGACGAGACGTCCTGGAAAGATTCTTTCAGGCTCTGGGAAGTCGGCGGTGATGGCATTCTAATCCAGGTTTAACAATATACGGGCATTCTCAGAAAAGATATATCTTTGGCCAACGGCCCCAAACAAAGCTTGCACTTCCTCGTCATTCCTTTGAGCCGAGTCAACAACTGCATCTCCGGGCAGAAACGGAAAGTCGGTTCCGTACAGTAAATGTGAAACATCAGTAAACCTGAGAATTCCATGGATTTGGTCTGGGAATGGGAAGCCAGCGAGATCGAAGTAGAAGCGAGTCTTGAACATTCGGCGGACATCGTCGCTGGAAATGGAATTGCTACCATAGACTCGAGTTGAATATGACGTGAAGCGCTCACTCACTGAAGGGAGCACAGAACCGCAGTGCGGCACAATGAAAGTGATATCGGGATTTCGCTCCACGATTTTGGATAAGATCAGATGAGTTACAGCACGAGCTGTGTCGAAGAAGAACTCGAGCACCGGGCGTGGATACTGAGGTAGTGGCACTACCTCCATGGATCGGACTTGCTGGGCAGCCTGTAGATGCGTGCTAGGGCACAACTGACATGTAGTGGGATGGATCATAACAACAGCCTTTCCCTCGTTGAGCTTCTCGAATACCCCGTCGAGCGAAGGCTCACCAAGATAGACGCCGTTGGTGTTCGTCAAGGTTGCAAATCCCTTCGCCCCCAGCTGATCCAAAGCATAATCAATCTCCGCTATTGACCCTTCGACATCGGGGAGAGGTAAGCTGGCGAAGAAACCAAACCGGTCACGGTGGAGCGCGCTGATGTTTGCAAGTTCTGAGTTCGTTTCACGGGTGATCTTGCGGCAAAGCGATGTGTCTCCTGGCGAAAGGTATGTGCCTGGAGAAGTGATGCTGAGGATGCTCTTTAAGATATGCGCGCGGTCCATTAGACTCATGTGTGCTTCGATGCTCCATTCCTGTACGCGGAAAGGATGAGCTCTTATCTAGATGAGTCGCCTGTGCACTGGGATACTTACAGGTATGCTAGACATCCCGTCTGGCTTTTCCCATCTAAGCTCTATGCAGTATTTCCTCCATCCTGGCGGTACAGCGTGGCTGTGTGCGTCGATACGCTGCATCACGGCGATACTAGTATTAAGATGACACAAGTTATCAACAACACAAGTGCTATCTTACCACAGAAGGACGCATGCGGAAAGAATGTCTGCTGCAGAAAAAATCAACGCCGCTCCTGCAAGGATTAACCTGGTTGAATGTTTCGAACTTCCTTTTCTTATAAACCTAGAGCGACCGGCGTTCTCATAAGCCTTTGCATGCCTCTGCCTGCCTTTCAACATGCGGACACCAGTCTAGAGACGATCTTATAGCACAGGGCGTGCGTTGACGTGGTCGAGGCGAGCCTCTCGATGATATGCTAGATGAAAAGGCGTACTTTGACCAGGCCTCGGCACAACAAAGCGTGACTAACTGGAGTGACGATGACGATCACGACCACCTCTTTCTCGGCCATCTGCGCGAGTCGCCGTCTTCGAATATTCTCCTTGTCTCAGTGTGGAACCGTTCCCACAAGCTGAATCTCTGGGGGCATGTGGTTTGCAAGCCAATTGAGCGTGGGTCTTGCAAGTGGGCGGCATTGCCCCCCTCGAGAGATAACAAGAGCAGACAACCGGCTCAAGTACTGGCCAAATATAAAGTGGCGAACGGTACTTCAATTCCCGGCATTCTTCCTCTTCTAACAATAATTCGCAAGGTTGAAGTCCTCAAGATTGACAACTCCAACGGCAAACCCCAGTATGCGCCTTTCTACAGCCCTGCTTCTAGCTGGGGCTGTGCCTACGTTTGCGAAACGAGCAAGGAGTGGCAGCCTCGCCAAAAGACAGGTTATCACAGTTTTCCCCCGCGATGCTTGGTCTACGGAAGATCGCTATACGATTATGGACAACGATTATACTGCCACATCTATGGGTCCATTTCTCCTTACTCTTAGCGCCAACATGACCGTCCTTGGGTTGACTGGAAACACTGCCGATTCTTGGGCCCTGCAATGCAGTCTCCATGCACTCGCCCTGCTCGAACACGGCAATCTCTCCTGCATTCCAGTTGCCCTGGGAGAGTATAATCCCATCACGATAACCCAGGCTCGCTTCGACTCGTGCACCCAAGCTTGGGGAACTCTCGATTGGGACGGTGTCTTCGCTCCCGAAAACCTCACCGCCGAATCTCTCGGCAATGACCCTACAGGTGGTAACCCAGACCGAATCAGCAAATCCGCCTTCGTTGAAGGTTATCCGAACACAAGTTTCATCGACCAGGCAGCCGCTGTTTTCATGGTGGAACAGGTACACAGGTAACCTGGGAAAGTGTCAATCTACTCTGCCGGTAGTTTGACTAATATTGCTGCCGCCATTCGGATGAACAACACCTTTGCAAGAAACGCAAAGGAACTCGTTATCATGGGCGGCTACGTGGACCTGAACCTCCTTCAAGTTACCTCAGACTGGAACCAGGACCTTGGCAGCGACATCAACTTTATAATTGACCCCGAAGCTGCGCATATCGCAGTGACAGCGGATTGGCCGTCCATCACGATTGTTGGTAACGTGGCAAATTCCCTCTACTTACCCAACACGACTGTCCAGAACATAGTTTCGAGATCTCCCAACCTTTATTCCGACCTATCGGAAGATTATTACCTAGGCTATCCACTGTGGGATGAAATCACGGCGGCAATCATGGCCTATCCAGAAGTAGTGACTGACAGCATTGAAGTGTACATGGAGGTGAGCACGGCATACGACTCCCCTTTCTATGGTGGAACGTACCTTTGGGGAAACGATTTTGCGCCTATATATACTCGAAAGGTCAATTATGTGCTGGCAATCAACGACACAATGTTTTTTGAGAAGTTTGATCGCGCCAACTTGTGTCGAAGGAAAAGTGAGTTATTAGAGCGCAAAACTTCCGGGCTCCCTATAAATCCTCCCCAGTGCAACTCAGCACGAGGCGAGCAGCTGAAAAGAAGCAGTGACCACATAAGTGATGGTGGTGATTTCGAAGAAGGGTTGAATGTATGTTCCATACTTCCCCAGTGCAACTCAAATCCCATGGGATAAGTAGCTAAAAGGAAGCAGTGCCAATCGAATTGTTGATTACAATTGTAGTTGACTAGGCTTTGTGCATTCGACGGTGATTTCTCCAGTATTGCTCAGCACCCGAGGGCAAGTAGCTAAAAAGAAGTAGTGATGATAGTATTGTTGACTAATATTTTGTAAGGGTATAACAGTAATTCGATAGTTTAATATAAGTCGCAATACTTCTACAGTATAGCTCAGTACAAGGGCGAGTAGCTAAAGAATCAAGAATGAAAATAGTATAAATTGATATTGATTTGTTTAATTGGTAAGGATACATTATTCTTGAATTGACTGAATTACTTTCGGTTTAGATTAATGTATATTACAGAGATCATTAAGGAAGCTCAGCACCCGAGAGCGAGCAGCTCAAGGACTACCGACAAAAGCGTCGTTGATTGAAGGTGGAGGAGTTTAGACCCGAAGTGACGTAGTGGCCAAGTCAAATTATATTAAGGTATTTTGTAGAGATTCTCAGTAAACTTAGCACTCGAGGATAAATAGCTAAAAGATTAGGCACAACAGCATCATTGATTGAAGGCAATTTTGTGTCGGATGATATGATGTCGGTTGCAGTCAGTTTGACCCTGCTGGAAAGATCCTTTGTGCAGCTCAGCTCCCAAAAGCAAGCAGCCAAGAGACCAAGGACAACAGCGTTGATGACTCAAAATATGTGTGTTCTGAGTTGATTTGATGCATTGGTGTATAGGCATTGCTTTACTGTCGACCAGCCGGTCTATCAGAACAGGCTGTGAAGTTGTGCTATGTATCAATAACTTATCTACGGCAATGGCCCGGCTGTGTCGTGCCCACGAGACTTTTTGAATCACAACAGAGCCGCGGTTTTTAAGGTTGCAAGTGCGTGGGACCAGGCAGGTCTGGAAAAGTAAGCTGGCGATCAAGAGCAAACTAGAATACTTGTCAGAGGACCGAAAAAAGACCAGGAAGAACCCAACTTACCCTGATATCCTTGTCCACATCCATGACTAAAGCTTCCTCTGCGAACAAAACAAAAGACGAATTCAGATCAAAGTGTGCTTGCGCACCATCTTCAAAGCTGTGTTGACTCCTCCTGAATTTCGGTACCGAGGCATGATTGTGGAGAAAGATCTTGTATACCAAGCAGAAGCGCGGCATATCTCTACCTCCGAAGTATGAGGCGAGATCAAACTTGTCAGATTCAACGCCAATATCGGCCATCAACCCCCATACATCGTCGTGGCAATGCTGCTCGAGAGCAGCTCTGAGGAGCGGAGTAAGCGTGGGCTCTAGCTTCTCCCCTTCTGTCCCGTGCTCGGCACTAGAGATGAAGTATTGAGCAACTGTCGCGCGCCCTTGAAGCATGTCCAACCCGAGCTCGATGCGCCGAGATGCAAGCCGCGTGGCGATTTCCAGGTCTTTTTCGTAGGCCATCAGCACGATGTTGGTCTCATAGTCGGCGAACTGGATCCCATCTGGGCCGACCTTTCCCGTCACATAGTCGGACGTAAAGCAACGCATCACATGTCCCCAGTCTCTGAAGAAGAGCTCTGTTACATCGTCACGGCCGAACCAATGCTGATTGGCATTCAATGGTCCCCCATCGCGTGCCCCAAATACGGAGTCAAATACTTGAGTTTGGATGTATTTGCTATCAATGTGCCAGACGGGTCAGTTTCTGTGCTAATCTCATGGCATGACAGTAGGACTCGTACTGTGGCTTTTCGTCTTTGTTCTCGGGTGCATCAACAATGGCTCCGTGGATCCGGTAACGATAATCCATATACTCCTTGCGTGTCAGGCCAGGCTTTCTCCTGATAGCGCAGATTTGCTTTATCAGTGGTGCCAATGACATGACGAAATGAATGCTCGACGAACCAGTAGCTTTATCGAGATCAGAGTCCATTTTTGTAGGCAAAGGTCATTGAAGGCAAGATCCAAATCATTGATTTCTCGCTTTCACTGGTCAACAGCCGGTATTTTCTGTAAGCCAATCACATCTCCCAGTACACAAGGCCCTCTTAGAATATTGTGAAGCGTTAACAGTCCTTTGTGCTGCGCCGCCCCTCCCCCTCCCCCCGGGACATCTATATCCGCCTCCACGTATTCCTTGCTTGCTCAGGGAGGCAATGTCCGGGTAATTGCGTATTTGGGCTTGGTGCCCCGGAGAAGACGAGATGTATGAGAAAGATCGGACTCCTCCGAACTTAGCTTGAAGCTATGGAGAAAATGTATGACGTTCGCAAAGATGGCACAAGTGGCTGCCATCGCCCGCTACTGGTGCCCCCCTTCGCCCGCCCCTCCTCCGGGGTTACCTGTAAACGTGTAATAGGTTCTTTTGCGACTTCAAAGCTCCAACCTCCCGGCACATGGCTCAGACGTCTTGAAGGAAATAACCATATTACCAAGCATGACAAGACACCACTCCTCAAGTCTGGTTTGGGTGGCTATAAATGGACATCCAAAGCCTATCACGGCAAGATTGTACTGGCGCAGATCATGCTTTGCACTCGAGTGAGGTTGTAACGTTACTGAGATACTGAAGTTGGCCAGCACCATGGGTGTCGAAGTTACTCCCTATTCGCCAAGGACCGTACTTGAGACTCTTCTTACGGATTTACCAACTTCAGAGATATCAAGCCAACTTGACGATGCGACTGCTGTGTCTTTGGTCAAATCACTGTCCACCCTCAACGAAAGCCTTCTGGTCGAGAAACCTGTATGGCGTGACACTTTCGCGCTCACGGGATCTTTAAGAACATTTTATACACCCGCGTCGATCATCAAAGCTTGGACATCAACTTGTGCAACTCGCCAGTGTCAGGACTTTTCCTTCACACCAGGCCGAATCAGGCCGGTACAGATCGGCCCAAGTCACTGGGTCGACGTGCATTTCACCTTTGATGTGCGAGCAACTCCTGCTGCTCATTGTCGAGGGGTCTTGTCCTTGATCTGTGATAACCAAGGTATATGGAAAATATGGTTGATTCGAACCGTGATCGACAATCTTGAGGGAGCTCAAAGCGTCGACGAAATTACGTGGATTAACTCAAAAGAGGATATTTCGACCACATCAGAAGCCGGCACTTATGGCGTTGACAACGCCAATGGAGTCAATGGCATCAAGGAATCACCTGAGATATATGATTGTGTCATTGTGGGTGCTGGTCAGGCAGGGTTAGGCTCTGCGGCACGTCTCCAAGCATTGGGCGTTACATCCTACATCATTCTCGAACGCAATAGTAAAATCGGCGATAACTGGATGAACCGATATAACTCGACTAGACTCCATACGCCGCGCGAGTTCAGTCATCTACCATTTGATCGAACATTCACTGGATACCAGGAGTATTTGACAAAATTCGACCTCGCCAAAGGATATCTGGACTGGGCCAGGAGAACCGGAGTTGACCAGCATATCTGGCCAAAGACTAACCTCGAGGCTGGATCTTGGGACGAGCAGGACAAATTTTGGACCCTTCAAGTCAGGCAAAGCGACGTTAAGTCTATCCGGACTCGAAATATCATCATGGCAGTTGGGGCATGCGGTCAAACCCCAGTTATGCCTAATCTACGAGGCAGACTCAATTTCCAAGGCCTAGTGCTTCATTCAACGGACTACAAATCGCCAGAAGCCTGGAAAGGAAAAGCTGGCGTAATAGTGGGGACGGCCAATACAGCTCATGATGTCGCTCAGGATATGGTTGCAGCCGGACTGTCTTCCGTTACTATGGTGCAAAGGGCGCGTACGTTTGTGGTGCCCGTCGAAAACTACAAATACTTCAGTGACTTCTTATACAATACGACCATACCGACATCAGAGTCCGATTTCGAATTTCTGTCGACCCCTTATGCAGTTAACCGGTTGATTGCTAATACAGCCCTGGCAGCTATGGCTAAGCAAGATCCTGCCCGATTCGATGCTCTCGAAGCCGCCGGCTTCCGAGTTGAACGCTACGGAGATATTTGGTATCATCTTTGTGAGAGAGGAGGCGGGCACTACGTGGATGTTGGATGCTCAAAGCTGATTTCAGAAGGTGCAGTAAGTCATCCCTAAGACCTATTCAGAAACATGCTAGATTCCACTAACGGATTTGATTCACAACTAGATCAAGATGAAGTCTAATGCTATAATGACCCATTTCACCCGAGCAGGTCTCGCCTTTAACGACGGAACCGAGCTCCCAGCGGACGTTATTGTCTTTTGTACAGGCTTCATTGGAGACGCAAAGGCAGACGTAGTGAAAATCTTTGGCGAGAAGGTGGCCTCGAACATCGAGAAATACTGGGGTTTGGATGATGAAGGAGAGCTCAGAGGCGCCTTCAAACCTTCTGGACGTGAGTCTTTCCACGTATCCCGGCATAACAGCAAGCGCAGGTGCATGACTGACAGCTGATGGCACGAACAGATCCGGCATTATGGTATATCGGCGGTACCGTTGGCCACGCTAGGTACTTTTCCAGATTTGTGGCATTGCAGATCAAAGCGTCTCTGATGGGCACTCCGCTGCCTCAATATAAGTGAACACGCGGGCCTGATCTGGGGGTTTTGAGGCATGGAGATCTTAGACCAACATCGAACATCGACCAGACTTATAGACATGCAAACCACATCAATGGCAAGGATTGCACGTATATCTTGAGCTGGTCCCGAGCGACTTGCAGTGGGACTAGGACCTGGATGAGACATTCGTCGTTCCGGTTGGAAATGAAAAACTCGGATGAACATGTCTTTCATTATCGTGTTGTCTCTCCAAAAAGAAAAGGGCAGAAATCGGGCCTTCTAGAAGCGCTCCATAGCAGATGAGTTAATTGCCGGCCAATCTTGCCATACGGCTGAATTGAAAAGACTCAAGCTACGCAATTATAGATAGTCTCTCCAAACATTTGATTATACGAAAGTCTGTCTTGCATGTTCTAACAAGCAAACGTCAAGAAGACATTTGAGTATATATATCTTATGCGGGACGGGTGCAGTCTCGACCGATCTAAACCTCACCAGACCAGTGCACTTCATCAGCACCGAACAAGTTTAAAAAACGTCCACCTCTACTGCATTAATCGTTGAATATGTTGGTGCGCCCTCTCACCTTAAGAACATCGACCGAAAGCCCTTGCAGGCTCGCGAGGTACTCGTCAGACTAAGAGCCACAGGCATTTGCCATACAGATAATGCAGTGCGAACGGGGAAGCCCCCAGGGGCTTTCCCGCTTGTCCTCGGGCATGAAGGCGCGGGCGTGGTCCAAGAGATTGGTAGCGCCGTGAGCAGTGTGAAAATCGGAGATCACGTTCTACTTTCCATACTTCCTGTGGAACTTGTGGCACTTGCAACAAGGGAAAACCATATGCTTGCGGGGAAATGGAGAGGCACAATTTCAGGTGCTCACGGCCTCATGGCAGTTGTTCACTACAGTGGGAGGAGCTCGACGTCCACGGATGATTCTTTGGGCAGTCATCATTTGCAAACCCCGCGATTGTTCAAGAGTCTTCGTGCGTGCCAGTCGAGTTAAGTCTGCCATCAGAAATACTGGGACCCCGGGGCTGCGGCATACAGACGCGCTCCGGGACTTTGTTTAACATTGTCAAACCTATGGAAAACGATACTAGGTCATTGGTGGTCTTCAGAATTGGTGGAGTGGGCTGCGCCGCGATCATGGCAGCATCGTACCTTGCGAAGCAGAATCCAGGGGTCTTGGATGTCAGTATTGCGGTGGACCTCAGAGCCGAACGCCTGGAACTCGCTCAGCAGTTGGGAGCCACACATACTATCGACGGCCAAGAGTACAAGTCAAATCTGGTTGAAAAAATACGCCGTATCACAGGTGGTGTTGGAGCCGATGACTGTTCGGGGGCATTGTCAGTAATCGAAGACATGATTGTGGCTCTAGCTCCGTGCGGAAGAGCCGTGACTGTGGGTGCGCCTCCATTGACAATCAAAATGTCTATCGAGGTGTTTCCCTTTATCAACGGGTGTGAATCTTATCGTGAATCACACCAGGGGGACAGCGTTTCCGGGAAAGCAAGCTATGCTTGGAACTGATTCCAATCATGATTACAAACCTCGCCAACTTTGATATTGTCAGTTCCTTCCATTTCTGGCCGAACTCTACCTGAAAGGCGAATTCCCCCTCTACAAGTTGGAATGCCCGTGTCCCATTAGCGCCGCCAATGATGCTGTTCAAGACATGCTCTCTGGAAAGGTGATCAAGCCAGTCCTGATCTGGTGAGACCTCGGTACCCTCATCAAACAAGAACGCTTCGATCACGTATCTCGTGCAATGTCGACTGAACTGCCGAAATGTTCTGCCGAACGAAATAATCAAGCCGATGGAGACGGATGGTAACTAGTCAATGTAGAAGAGAGATACCTCCTTCCCTAGACTTCTGTAATGATGACAATTGAGAATTGTAGACTGGAGTCTTGTTAGAGCGACTACAGGGAACATCATCGTGATTTGATGCATTGCATTGAGACTTGTGCTTCCTTTGGTGGGCCGCACCCGCCCCTCGTTTTCCCGCCCTCCCGACCCAGCCTTTCTCGTTGCCGAGCATCCTTGTTCCAAAGTCACGGTATCCGAGTGCTCTCAGTGCCTCCTTCATGTGCCCGTAGTTTGCCTGAAAACTGTTCTGGAAGGTGTCGTGAGATGGACTACCCTATAAGAGACGTAGTCAGAATAGGAATCGGTATTTGAGCCGGTGTCGATCGAAAGTGGCCATGAAGTGGAAATAGATTCTTGGGTTTTCTACGGCTGGCGTCGTTCCCGCTGCTCAAACTTCCACTTTACTGCTTGCGAGTCGTCACTCAAGCCCAAGAAAAGTAAACATGCAGCCCCTTATCCTTCTGGTTGTTTTGGCTTTGGCTTCGGGCATGGTATGCCTCTTGCAGGTTGGGCGCAGACCAAAGAACTATCCTCCCGGGCCTCCGACCCTACCAATTCTGGGAAATATCCATCAGGTGAGGTCAATCCATTTCAGTCTCTCTGCAGAACAAAGCCTTATTGCGTATGGATAGATGCCCTCTCGCGACGCACACCTCCAATTTGAGAAGTGGGCAAAGGAATATGGCCCGATTTACAGCCTCATGTTGGGCACGAAGACCCTAGTCGTCCTATCGAGCCCAGAGGCCGTCAAAGAGTTGTTGGATCGGAGAAGTGGTATCTACTCAAGCAGGCAAGACATGTATATCGGTCAGACCCTCTGCAGCGGAGGCTTACGGCTCCTCATGATGGTAAATTTTGTGGTTTGGAAGTTAGTTACGTGCACCTGAGTTGCTTACTCTTTCTTAGCCCTACGGAACAACTTGGCGAATGGTATAGTTTCGAAATGTGCTGCAATCATGATGCGCTGACAAGTGTTTTAGTACCGCAAGATGTTCCATAGCTTGCTTAATATCTCGGCAGCTAGGTCTTACGTCCCGTATCAAGTGCTTGAAAACAAGCAAATGTTATACCAAATCCTGTTGCAACCGAACGACGTCTTGAAGCACATTCGCCGATACTCTAACGCCTTGACTACCTCAATGGTTTTTGGTTGGCGAACGCCGACTTATGAAGACCCAAAAATGCAACAGCTTTTCACCGAATTTGCCAAATTTTCCGACCTGAATCAGACGGGCACGGCAGCTCTCATTGATTTCTTTCCTCTCCTAAGATATCTACCGAGCTTTTTAAACCAGACACAGAAGAAAGCTCAACAGCATCACCAGCGCGAAAAGAAGCTCTATCTAGAACATTGGCTAAACGCAAAATCGGCTATTGCGGAAAGTACTATCAAGCCATGTTTCTGTGTCGGCATGGCTGAGGCGCAAAGGGTCGACGGCTTCAGTGATGAGCAGGCCTGCTACACATCGGGTACCCTCCTCGAAGCCGGGTCGGACACAACCTCAAGCACCCTCTACGGGTTCGTTCAAGCTATGGTTCTAAATCCCGAGGCTCAAAAGATGGCTCAAGATGAAATTGACCGAGTGATTGGCCCTGATAAACTTCCGACTATGGATGATGAGGCAGATCTACAATATGTCCGCCAATGTATGAAGGAGGCGCTAAGGTGGATGCCGACAACTATTATGGGCGCTGTTCCACATGCAGTAACGCAAGACGACGAGTATATGGGCTACCTGATCCCAAAAGGTGCTGGCGTAATGAACAATGTGTGGTCGATCCACCGTGACCCTGAGCGATACCCTGAGCCTCGAAAGTTCGATCCCTCTCGGTATGACAACGACACACAAAGTCTCGGCGACTCGGCTGCGAACCCGGACCCTCGAAAGCGCGACCAATTCACTTTTGGAGCTGGACGTCGCATCTGTCCCGGCATTCATGTCGCGGAACGCAGTCTTTTCCTCGGCATCTCGCGCATGTTGTGGGCATTCAACATTGAGCCGGCTCAACAAGAGAACGGATCCCCGATCTATCCGGACCAAGAGCGACTTACGCAAGGATTTGTGTGCGCGCCTGAACCGTTTCCTGTCCGTATTGTTCCAAGGTCCCAAGCACGTGCAGATCTAGTCACAAAAGAGTGGAAAGAGGCGGAAACAGAACTGTTGGATCCTCAAACGAAACAGTGGCGCGAGTCACCAGTTGCGTCAATCTCATATTCCAGCAAAACGAAGTAAGCAAATGCTAAACATCACGACTGCAGTACGCGGCGCTTTAGATGAGGGCCATAGCATCCTGCCCTCAGTTGTACCTTTATGTGAAAAGAACAAAACCGTCTGGCACGCATCTCACTTTACACGTACTCCCCTTTCGATCTCAATTTTGGTGAAACTTCGTATCTCATTTCAGAGTGTCGCGGAGCTTACTAGGCCTCTTGTGATCTGGTAATGGTAAGTAAGAGCAGCTACCACCCCCTTGCTGAGCTGCCAAAACGGTATTGTCTTCAGCAACTCGAAACTTTTGCAAAGAAGACTGTCAACCTGTACGTTTCCCCGTATCAAGTCCAACTCAAAGTCTGACAACTCGTGAGAAATGACTCCTTTCAAGCAGCAGTGGTCGATACTACTGAGTGTATCCCTTTTGCATCCTGTACACCGACCGAGCTCCATTTCAATCGACCCTATCTTCAGCTCGATATATGCCCAAATTGTTAGGACCGCGATGCAAACCGCCAGTGCGGCATGTGGAGTTTTTGGTCGTTTGATGCGCGTCTGGACCATGATCTGAATGGCGTGTACAAGGGCTACTTGGATGCTCTCAGGCTGCTCCATCATCCAGGTCGAGAGCCGATACCTTGTCACATCAACTTCTCGACCACTTGCCTTGAATCCTACAAAACTGTACAGATCGGTACAGGTCACCTGAATAGATATCATGGTGCAATGGTAGGCCTCCGAGATGAGTTGCCTATGAAGGGGCCAAGTCTTTTCGAGACACGGGGTTCGGCTCAGCCTGTCGTAACACTTCGAGAGAACTCGCGTCCATTCCAGTTGGGATTGCCTAGGTCCCTTGGGGAGACGAGGAAATTTTCTGGTAGCTCGAATATACTCACCGACGTCCTGAGTAACGGCCAGCATCGCCAGAAACCTCGAGAAACCGCTAAGCGTCTCAGGGATGTCGGAACTTTTGTATAATATTTCAACCCAGTCATCTAGGGTAAGCGGATCTTGATCTAGACCTATATTGAGCGTAAGAACTGTACACGCACCAAGATTTCTGTAGACGCACCTTGCTTTAAACGCTCCGCATGCCACTCTTTTATTGTGAGTGCTTCCCACAGTCCTTCCGAAGCCGGAATAGGGAGCTGGCGCGTACGTAGGGTCACCATAGATCGAACATCGTACAACAGCGACCCTTGTGTTTCGATTGCCCATGAGCATGTTAGCCATAACGCCGTTGTCAGTCCGAAAATCCAACTCACCCAAGTCGCAAGCGCAGTTCTCTTCCTGGACTCTTTCTTCCTCCAGAGCTCCAATTCCTCTTCGGATTGGAGCCAAGTTATGACGTGGGGCTTCAACCTTTCACGATCGAGGCTCCGCAATCGTTGCTCCTGCGAAATGACGAACGCGCCTTTGGCTCTTTGCGCATAATCCAGGGATTCATAGCTCTCGCTGCAGCTAAAGATAACGTAGGCTAAAAATCTGACTTGCTGATACCAAAGCTCCGTGGCTAGCGATGTCTCCGTTCCAGCCTAATATATGAGTCAGCTTTCAAGCGCACGATAGCCATCAGGTTATCCTCACAATGCTGTCTAGGTTCTTCCGCAAGAGTGAGCGCATAGAATATAAAGTCTGGAGCCTTGTCTCCGAAAGAAATGACACGCCAATTGTACAGACACATAATACTAACAGATAGTGCTCCATGTCTGCAATAAAGGCGACCGACGACAGTATCGGAAAGAGAGGAGAGAAATTTTCGAAATAACTTTCAATAAATATGTTGAGTGACTCTTTAGTTGGTAGAAGCACATTGTTAGAAGCGTCCGCGCCTTGGTGGATGACTTCGCTCAAGCTCGCGCGCAATTGGTCGTAGCTGGTTCGCAAAAAACATGTGACCGGTAGATTCGTCTGAGAAGTACTAGTATAGGAAGGTCCAACAGCATTCTGGTGTTGGTGATGCACATATTGGGGTTTCATTGGAACAATGGTCTGTGAGCACCTGTCTTCCGCTTGAATTAATGGTATCGGGGGATCGGTGGCTGAATCGACGCTCGATGGAAGCATCATATTGGCAGAAGGGCTTAAACAGGGTTGAGACACATCTGAAGGAGTTCTCATTAACGTGTCCCATTGAAAGGATATGTCGTCCCAAGATAAATCGTTTCTCTTTGGCTCTTCAAGAAGATATGAATTAGCGTTCGATCGGAGAGCACAAAGACAAAACGCACCTGCCGAAGGAAAGGCCATTTCCGACGAGATGATGTCGTCTGTGGGAACCGTCCACTGGGATTGAAGGGAAGAGGCTTTTGTTATTCCGACCATGGTCAACCGCCTCTCCAGTGCAGGAGATGATTCCAGAGGCCCAGCGGTGCAGACATCCTGCAGCGGAACTGAACTCGACTCATTGTTACTCAAAAAGGAGTCGCTTGTGGAAGGGAGAGGGGATATCTGGTTTGTGACAGAAGGTAGTTCGGTCGTGGAATACGTGCAGATGCTGCTCCGATATCGACAGCGGCCGCACGGGTTACAGCCATCGCAACGCTGTTTTTGTCGCCGACAATTCTGACACGCAGACGGTATGCGCTTACGGGAGTGGGTGCTTCCGGCTGGATTCTCTTCAGCTTGGACTCCGTGAACGCTTCTGTAGTGACGACTCAAGGCATCTCTGCAGATTGATGACAAGGGGGTCAAGTCAGCGTCTGCGTAGACATTCGCCGCAAACCGGGACGCAAGACTAGAACTCTTGCTATATGGATGTGCTCACTGTCTAGGGAAGCTGCGAGCGCAGTCTGAACACTGGAAAGGTTTGATGTTCCCATGTATCATGAGATGACGTCTAAGATGGTCTCGGCGCCCAAACATCGCTCCACAGAAGCTACATACACAGTCAAGCAAAAAATCCATTGTCTGAGATAGCAGTAGTTAGAAGAAGGACCGTGATCATTGAATGAGATCAAAGAAACGTCGGATTTGATTCTTCTGGATAAGGGAAGAGTACAGATTCTGGCCCAAGTTTAAAGATCTGTGCTTGGCTGAAGGAAGAGGGACAGACGCTGGGGAAATATTGGTCCGTGGGGTTTGCCACCTGCCAGGCCTGCTAGCGAGAAGCCCACTAGTACCCCACAAAAGTTCTGGGCATTGTGGGCCGAAGCTTCCAGGGTGTAGGAACATTACGCCGTGCTCCGTGCCTAGGTACTTGTCTGTCTTCGGCATAGCGATGGAACGAAGGCCGATAAAGTCTGGAGAGCGAAGAAGCGGCCCCGGAGACAAGTGATCGGTCCTTGGTAGGCATGCAGCCCCAGCAGCCTACTATTGCCAGTGTACCTGATCGGCTGTGAGGAGATCGAATACGGCGAGGACGGGCACCAACCGGTAGTGATCATAAACAAAGCAACGCAGGCTATAGAAGCGGTGGCGCTCAAGCATGCGGCAGCAGATCATGTAGACCATGCGAAATATCAGGACGAGGGTGAAGGATGGGACACACACGAGGGAATATGGAAGAAGTGAAAATTGACATGCGCGTTAATCTACCCGACTGATCTAACTGCTCGACTGATCTGACTGAGTAGAAATAGATGTTTTGGGAGTTATCTAATGTTGAGTGTGATGGCAATCCCAAACTTCTCGATGCGCAAGAGGGCAGAAGGTACCCATGGGGAAGATATCAAGGGTCAATTTCCCCATGCGCAGTGTGTTCGATGAAAGAATTCAAAATTTTGAACACGGGGGAAGAGGACCTCTATTTAGTCGTTATCTAATGATAATATGTATAGATGTCGGTGGCGTAGTTTGCCCAAGGCTCTAGAGGTTCCTGGCAGCCCAAGCTCTTACCCTATGGCCCCATCGATGCGAGGCGTCCTACTCGAAGCTGCATCCACGATAGGGTGAAAGTTATTCGATCTGGAAATTAATCAAAATATAGAAATCGCTTTATGACTGGTCTTCTATATACCCTGCCTGCTCGAATTTTCAAGCCGAAGCGTCAACATAGGTCAACCATTTCTCCAAGGCTCCGTCACACCGGTAAACTACGATGCCACGAAGATCGTTTGCAGTTTCCATTCAATTGTAAGTCCCTTTGGCTTTGCATCCAAGATTACCATTGCCTCTGCTGCCAGGCCAATAAACAAAGTTAAACCTTGGCATATCCCCCTCCCGATCCCGCCCCTCATCGGAGCCGGGCCCCACCCCAGCCCACGGTCGATATTCTCCAGATTACCCGGGGCGCGCCTAGTGCCCAGGTGGTCCTGTAGAGCCTGCAGATGAGTGGATCCTGGTGTAGTCATGCATAGTCCCTTGCTGTCACTCTCTTGAATTGCCTAGCTGCCTAGGTACTAGAATCTACATTCTGTTACTATCGCCGGAGGGTCTTCCACAGGTCTGTCGCAAGGCTGAGACCCGGCGTACTGAGAAATTGTGTGCCTGTTAACTATAACCCGCGTCTGAATCCGAATCCTTCTATAATCCAACAACGAATCTCTTTCACTTCTAGGCAAGTTCGGTTAAATTTTAATTTTATCTGCGAGGTGGGCGCTATCAACCTCAGAAATCAGGTCCGGAACCTCTCTCCCAGTCATCGAGTTATCACTCACCCCTTTATCACCGGCGCAGCAGTAGGAGGTCTTACCCCAATCAATGGCTGAGATTCAACACGAGAAAGGAGCCTGTACACCTCCGATCAAGATATATCCGGACAAGTTTGCCCACCATGTCGTCGCGATTACCGGATCAGGGTCTGGCATTGGAGAGGCCACTGCTCAACTTTTTGCACAGCAAGGAGCCCAAGTTATATTGCTAGACATCGATGAGAAAAAGCTACAGATTATTCAAGCATCGATACAGACCGCCGGAAATAAAGCGGATATTCAAATTTGCGATGTCAGTGATGCACAGTCCGTCTTCACCGCAATCGCGGAGACAATCAGGAAATTCGATAAAATTGACGTCCTCGTTAATATTGCCGGTATATATCCATTCCATCCCTTACAAGGCTACCCAACAGATTCGTATCACCGTACGATATCAACTAATCTGGACGGGTCCTTCTATCTGACCCGTGCGGTTCTACCGCATATGCAAAAAGCCGCGTACGGGCGCATTATTCATACCTCGTCAGCGAGTTTCCGAGATCCTCAGCCTGGGATGACTGCCTACATTGCTTCGAAGGCCGGTATTGTTGGACTTGTTCGCGCGGCTGCTATCGAGGCTGGACCGGGAGTTACGATCAATGCAGTACTTCCTGGACTTATTGAGACGCCCGGTGTGCTACGGCACGAAGGAAGTTCTGACCTTTTCGATACAGTTGTCGCTAAACAGGTTATCAAGAGGAGAGGCCACCCATTGGATATTGCACATACTTTCTCTTTTATCGCTAGTTCTGAGGCTGCTTTCTACACGGGCCAGACTTTCAATTGCAGCGGTGGTGTAAATTTCAATTAGCGAAGCCACTGAGGCTGATCAAAACGACCATTATATGAAGGTGCTTGGTTTCATAACAACATGACAAAGCGAGGAGCGGCCTAGTTGTAGGTGCAGTAAGGAATGAAAAACTAAGGCTCCTGGTCTATGTCCAGATCTTCAATATACCGATCTTGATTTCTCTTCTTTTTCCCGTCAATCTGAAGTGCGAGACCTAGCTTGAGTCGTTCTTCGTTCAACAGAGTCAACCTTGGTCAAGTCAGCCTGCCATCCTAGTCACGGGTCTAGCAGAAGTAAGAGCAGTGGAAAAGAGGTCAAGGTCTACTAGGTTCATGCTCGGGAACGACAGGGAACTCTGCATAAAGCTTGGCTACCAGTATCGATATAAAATGATCCGCTCCGCCCCTCCCCCACTTCTCTCCGTGTCAAGCGCCACGGCTGCGGTCACGCAGTTTTTTGCCGACTTCTTGATACCTTTTTGCCTTCTTCATTTCTAGATTTAGGGACAAATCGCTGCTCCGTCTGCCCGATACCGAGAATTACCGTTGGCCTCCAGTGCCATAAAGATGTCGCTACCATGAGCAGTGCCTGCCAGGCTTCTGATGTCAGTATATGTATGTCTCTTTTCATGTATAGAGTGTAGATGACAACCTTTCCTTTTGGGTCGCTTGGTTATTCATATCGAAGACTGCGCTCCTGGCTTTTATGCTTCCAGAATGGGCCGATTAACCACTGAAGCTCTCTTGAAGCTGGGAGTAATTGACCCAGAACTTGATGGTGTAAGTACGCGCTGTGCGACTGCTGGGATTGGCATCCAGGAATATAGCCTCTGACAGTCATCATGTAAAGTTTTTGAAGGCGAACACGATCCAAAGCATCGACTACAGCGACATTCATGAATTCAAGAAAGGGGCCGAACAACTCGACGCCCAGAAGATTGCTAGGCTAGGAGAATCCCCCGCCAGCGTCAAGCGGTCAGAGACGCACTACACCGCCGAAGATGGCATGCAGCTTCGAGCACTGATCTACCAACCAGTGACGCCGACGGCGGAAGGAGTTCCACTGGTCGTACTCTTTCACGGCGGCGGGTTCTGCATTGGTATTCCCGAAGATGAAGAGGAGACGGCCCGAAACATCGTCAACGCGTTTGGAGCAACTTGTGTCTCATGTGCATATCGACTGGCTCCTCGATTCAAGTTTCCGTACGCGGCTAAGGATGGTTGGTCAGCTTTGAAATGGGCGGCCGTCAACGCCAAATCCTGGGGTGCTGATCCGGCGGTGGGATTCGCCGTGGGTGGTACTTCCGCTGGAGCTAACTTGGCAGCCGTAACTGCGTTTCTTGCTCGAGACCATAACCTTTCGCCGCCGTTGACAGGGCTGTATCTAGCGGTACCTTTGGTATGTGGCGAGTCAGTGCTGCCAGAAAAACTTCGGGACCGCTTCATGTCGTATGAACACAACAAGGATGCATTGGTGCTGCCGAGGGCGGCCATCGACATGTTCATTAGGGCCTACGAACCTAATTTCGAAGATGCAATCCTTTGTGAGTTCCGATTACTCTGTCTGGGTATGGAGGAACGGATAGTGCTGACGAGAATGGCTATAGATTCGGTCTTGAATCATCCCAAAGGCCATAAAGATCTCCCACCAACATTCTTGCAGATCAACGGCATGGACCCGCTTCGGGACGAAGCCATGATCTTTGCAGATGTCCTCGAAGAGAACAGCGTCAAAGTTAAACTCGAGATCTATCCTGGTGTACCTCATTGTCACTGGATTTTCTTCCCATTCCTCCAAGCTAGCGTGAAATTCAGAGAGGACCAGGTTGAAGGCTTCGGATGGCTCTTGAACCAGAAGCCTAGGCTTTTAGAAGTCTAAGAACGGGAAACTTTCGATTCTCAGGATTTATAGACATCGTAATCAGAATCATCTTTGGATCGGGTCAGCAGGACACTTATACCCGACGCCACCACCGCTGGTTGGGTGGAATTCGTGGAAGGGTGCTACCAACCCCAGTTGATACAACGAGACAAAGGCCCAATGGTGTTCCCGAAATTGAAAGCTTTACTCGTGAAACTCAGCTCCTGCAAGGTTGCACTGTTTTCCTGCAAAGCTACCGCACATCAGCTTTTAAATCTGAGGCAACGGTGTCCTGTGATGCTTGATTGGTCGGACTCGCCTACCTTAGTCCGCAATCCACTGCGGTCTACCTGGCCGTATCTGCATCTTCCCGGAAGACGTGCGCCACAATATCAGCTGTTGCACCTCATATTATGTTTTCATATTCAGCTGCGTGGGGCAGTAGATGGTGTTGTGATGCAGAGAGGAAGAAAGAGGACTATAAGATACAGTGGCTTCTCACTGAAATATTTTCCTCTATTTCCCTTTTGAAGAGCATTTGTAACGATTATTTCTTTTCGGACATACCAACTTCTTGAAGTCTCCGAACTGGCCGGCCATCCCAGACCATATCATGGCTGGTCCACTTGGTAATGCTGCATGGCAGAATATCCTCCAAAAAGCCCACGTTGCCGAATCAATCGTGAATGGACAATGGGTTGAAGTGCTTCACAACTACTTCCCCGCCCCGGCGTTCATCATCTGCCCTGAAGGGAGAGATACAGCCAATGGTAGGACAGACATGGTGGTCCTGCAAGTCAGAAACAATGGGGGTGCCATGGAGCGCAGGAGAGTCCTTGCCTTCGAAGGCAAGAGAGGCGCGGACAACCCCCCTGCCACTACACAGGCCTTCTTCAACAACCTTCCGCAGCTTGCTGGGTATATGGCCAACAATGCTAGACTCGGGCAGTACCGATACGGATTCCTTGCGCTTGGTGCACAAGCGGTCCTCATGAGTTGGCAGCAGGGTGCTGCTCAGAACGACATCTACGAAGTCAGAATTGGAGCCGGAGGAGTCGTTCGATACGGGCAGCCCAACAACTCCTTGACCGTCGCCAATGCAAATGACGCTCAAGAACTTGGGCTCCTTATGCAAGTGGTGAATAACGCTGCAGTCGACCCAAACAATCAAGCTATTGGTTGGTCGACCGACTTTACCTAGAGCGTCTGTATGGAGTCCGCACCTAGACCTCCAGACTCAGATTGCGGTCTTAAATAGTAGGAAGGAAGTTGACAGTGGCCAGTATCAAGGCCACAGCTCTCATGGAACAAGACAATCTGTTTGCACGCATGAGCTGCGTCCTATCCCACCCGCGGCAGGATTGGCACTTTTTTCTTAGTATTCCTCACGGATATCATGAACAGGCAACTTCAATAGCCATTATGTATTTCTACCCCAGTTTACTTAGTAAATCTACATGCCATTTATGAAAACAACCTGTCCGGATATACAGTGCGACACTACAACCGATTGTGACTGCGGTTTGCAGAACGCGAATCGTTGACTGTAGGCTATGGCACCTGCTTTCCGTGTAAACTGAGCTCTTTCCCTTGTCTATGACTGTCGCTGTTACATCAGAGGCATCCCGTTCAAATCTGTTGTAATGTGGCTGGCTGACTCTTGCTCCACTCGTTGTACATCCTTGTCAGCTGAAACAGCCAGGTATTCTTAGATGCATCCTGCATTTGACGGACGGCAACAACTTGGAAATCAAAGGTCTCAGCTGACTTCTGTCGCTGGAGCCTGTAAGCTACGCTGGTGTAGTCTTCACACCGTGCCCAGGTCAGCCCTCCATCAGCTTTCCGGGGCCGGTGGAGGAAGCACCTCCCAATATTGTGGTAGACATACATTGGCCACGAAGTTCTGAACGACAGTGTTGGACATGGGATGCCAGAGGGCTACTGAGGAGACGCGAGATTTGACAATGGCAGCGATCTAGGATAGCAAGCCTTAGGGCGTCCATAGGGAAGTGGCTTGTCGAGATCGGACTCATCATCTGTTGGCTCTTCGCTTTGGCGTACAGCTGTACGTTCCTTGATGAGCACCAGGTAAGATGCGAACTCAGGCTCAGAGACTACCGACTTGAAGCCTTCTCCAGGTCTGGCTCATGTTTAGGTTGGCCTTGGAAGGTCGGACAGGCTTGGGGGTTTCACCAATATTTCGACTTGACAGAAATCTATCAGCTTTCGGCCGATCAATTTGAAGCTTTATATGAAACTAGTTATTATCAGTATGATAAGTTGACAGACAGCGTTCCAAATGTCCAGCCACTGCACGATCATGTCGCAGCGAACCCGAGGGATCAGGCCATTTAGGTTTTACGTTCCATCTCTCCGACAATTCCGCCCGGAATGCGGGCCGCTTGCGGATATATTGCGGATTGGTACCCCATTTATGAACACTTACTGGAGGCATCGATCACTGAGGACACATCTTACGAGTTTCTCCAACCGTGCCTTATCGCAGTCCAAGGCTACTTGCATACTCCTTCCCTTGCCCTGAGGTGTGTCCCCCTCATGACCTATGAAGAAGCGGCAAGATGGCAACGATATCGCTTGCGGCTTATCTATGGTCAAGGTGAGCTACTAGAGACTGTTCCAAGATCCTGCTTCGTATGCTAACCGTAAGCTCCGAACCAGAATTAGGGAGATTGGTGTGAATTCGGTGTTTGTATGTGGTGCAATGCTGAACCTCCAATGCTACTGTACTCCATCCTAATGACTTTGCATATAACAGGGGGTGCCAGGAGACTTCAATTTGCACATGCTGGACTCGATCTTCGAAGTCCAAGGTCTAAGATGGGGTCGGTACTATTCAAATCAGAGTTGGTCAAGTCTAATTTGACATATACAGTGGGCAATGCGAATGAGCTGGGTGCTGCATACGCCGCTGACGGCTAAGCAAGAGTCAAAAGAGCTCCTTGGGTTGGTCAGTAACGCATCTACCGCCTGAACATCATGTCTGACTCATGCTAATTCAAACCTCACCCGACAGTGGTCACTACTTATGGAGTTGGTAAACAGAGCCATGCAAGAGCGATTTCTTGAATCAAAATCTGATCTTTTCTTTGCAGGCGAACTGAGTGCGCTCAGCGCCATCTCTGGCTCCTTTGCCGAGCAGGTTAAAGTGATACATATTGTGGGTCAGACAGCGCGCCAGCAGCAAGAAAAACGCCTGGTGATACATCATTGCAATGATATCAACCCAGACCATAAGGTAAGCTGAGAGAAACATCCTACTATCCCACGGGCCAGCTGACCATAGTCCACGCAGGTATACGAGAGGATGTCAGAACCAGTCCGAGTTGCCGCTGCAGAATTATGGCACAGCGGCAACGCTCCCGCAGAAATCGATGTAAGCCTAAGTATTATTACCATAGATGATAAGCTCATTAGGGGCACAGCGTGTAATCCGCGAATGCTTCGTTCGAAGCCGTCCAGTCTACATCTTCTTCCCTTCCGATGTGGTGGACCTGCAGGTACCATCAAGCTTGTTACAGAAGAAAATTGATCTTTCTCTTCCAATATACAGCGCTGCGCAAGACAACGCAGTCTCTGCCATCGTCAAAAGGTTTTCAGAAGCGCAGAATCCGAGTATCTTTGTGGACGCCCTAGTGTTACGCCACGGCGTGGTAGAAGAAGTTCGGGAACTAGTAGACGCGCTGAAAATCCCAGTGTACTATGCTATGATGGGTAAGCACATAGTAGAAGATGCTCACAAATGTATGGTGGGCCTGTACAACGTGGTCATCAGCTCGCCTGGTGTTGCAGAAGCGTTTCAGACAAGTGATCTTGTACTTGTCCTCGGCAACGTACCTTCAGACACCAACACTGGAGGTTTTACTCGGAGGATCAGCCAGGCTCAAATTGATGTCCGGCCATTCGAAGTCATGGTGAGAACGCGTTTAGCCAACTACCCACATTTCTGCTCGCTCACTTCGAGACAGGTTGACGGCAAGTTACACCAAGGCACCTACATGAAACCACTCTTAGCCGAGCTCGTCCGAACTCTACCCAAAGTACGAAAGCCTTCCGTGATTCCAAAACTCTCAGCAGCATCTGAAACGAAGAGTTCAAGACAAGACATCATTACTCAAGACTGGGTATGGGGACGACTGGCCCAATTTTTTGAGCCAGGAGACGTCGTTTTTGGCGACACTGGGACATGTACATTCGGCCTTCACGGCGAGAGCTTCACACCTGGTTCTCAGTATGCTGGCCATCCTATCATACTGCTGTGAAAATTGTGCTGACCGTTCTAGCTTTGTCACTCAGACATTTTATGGCAGTATCGGATGGGCCACGCCTGCGGCATTGGGATCAGAGCTTGCTATCGTCGATGGCGCGAAGCTTGGCCAGATTGACCACAAACGGACTATTCTAATCACTGGGGATGGCAGCTTTGCGTCAACCATGCAGGAAGTCGGCACCATGGTCAAAAACAATTTGGCACCGATAATATTCATCATTAATAACGACGGTTACACGGTTGAACGGGTGATCCATGGGGGCACGCCAACCATACAACGATATCAACAAACTAGATTTCGCTCAAATCCTTCACGTTTTCTCGCACCCGGATCCCCATGCCAGCTATCACAGATGCACCACTCCGACTGACTAGAAGAGACATTGGATCAACTGCCACGAAAGGGACCGGAAAATGCGGTGTTGATTGAGATAATAATGGATAAGTTTGACGTTCCCTGGCGGCTACGCTCTCGAATGGCTCTGCGAGGGATACAGGCCGTCCAGACACTGAGGGACGAGGGTTTCAGTGGGTGGCAGGATGGGAAGTTTCCTGACCAGTGGGCAGCTGCAAAGGATATATTCAAGAGTGTATCTGGCTGATACCATTGACGTACGCAATTCCACAAGGACGAATATCATATGACTAAACGAATAAATCCGCCAGGCCAGCGGGAGTAGTAGCCTCTCTCGTAATGTGCCACCATGCCCCTCACATTCAGGTTTCTCTCTATCCTTGCATTCTCGTTGTCAATATCATCGCCAAGGGTCAACCGCACATTTCCCTCTTATCGAAGCGTTAACTTTAGGCTTTATCTCGCATGTTTTCTGTGCAGATCCTCGAAAAGAAAATGCACAGGATCCAGTCCATGCGACCATTGCTTGAAGCGCGGGCGTGTAGCAGATTGCAGATATCCCGGAGAGCGCAGGAACGCAACGACAACGGAGCATGCATCCCTAGCCACGGTGATCGTGCCACGCATCTCTCAACGGGAACCACCATCAGGAGAGCACCAAAATGCAAATTCACAAGCCATGGGCGATTTGGCTGATGGGGCAGATGAGCAGATGAGCAGATGACGCAGATTCTAGAAACACTTTCCCCGGACAACATCTCTTTCGTTCCCCCGAGAGTCTTAGAAAACGCCCAAAAGACCAAAGGTAATTCACGTGTCCCAAAATAGCTACTTTCCTGGAGGTCAGTCGCTGAGACGTGATCGCAGAGTATTTGTCGGGTCAACTGCGATCATCTCCTGCTTGCCACTGCTGCGTTCCTGCTTCCGGCGACGTATCGGGCCAACAGAATTTACCGAACTCACCGATGATGGACAGATGCTCGAAACCGAATTACCCCTCACTGCCCAGCGTACTGGTGAAGACCTCTTGAGCCTGTCTTAGAAAAAGGAACTTGTGACTACATTTTTCACCGCTGTAAATATTCCATTACCATTGACATTCTAGAACTGACCATTGAAGACTAGCGGTACATTAGATATAGTCGACGCCTCCCGTATCCACGCTATCCTTACCAACCAGAACCATGGCCATCACGTCGATCCCTCAAGTATCGCAATATCCAGTCTAGTTATCTGCATTGGAGCAAGATGCCATCCTGACAGCACGAGCTTTCGAAGGGCCGAACATGCATATTTCGAACACTCGCGACAGTTCCTTACACTTGAAGCACTGACCACTGTCCGCCTTGAGACTGTGGTGATTTTGATGCTTGCGACCATTTATGTCAGTTGCACCTGTCAGAGGAATCTATCCTATATCTATGCTGGAATTGCTACGCGGGCAGCCCATGTCTTAGGGTTACACAGCACTACATCTTCGACATCTTTTACGGCAAAAGAAAATGCTGAAAGGTATGTACGATCCATTCAAGCCCAAAAGAAAAACTAACCTCCATGCCGGCTGCGGATCTGGAAAAGTCTGCGTGCCCTAGAGACATTGATTAGTTCCCTCTTAGGTCGGCCGATAGCCAGCATGCAGACAAGCCAATCGTCCGAGGCGATGACTTTATCGTCATCGCAAATGCACCCATCGCGAGCGCTTCCAGTCGAGGCCAGCTATCAACTCTTGACAGTCACTGACCCTATAATGGAAAACATTTGCCATCAGAAAAATGTGGACGTCAAGTTTGCCCGGGCATCTCTAGACTGCTTGAGCACCTGGAGTTCTTCTCTTCCTGATTGTTTGCGTACTGTATCACAGGATAACGGCACGGATATCTCACGACAGGACCAAGTATTCGGTAATCTACACGTTGCATGTGCGTACTATTTTTCCGTGATACTGGTCACAAGACCGTTTCTCGTTCACTTTCTGCTGGGAAAGGATCAGCAGGGTTACAAAATGAGCTCTTCAAATCCAGTTCAAGCCCCAGGTTCCGTCGACGTGGACATCAATCCGGAGATTGAATTACTTGCCAAAACTTGTGAGGATGCCGCAGTGTTCCTCCCGTCCATAATTGTCAAGATGTTATGGAGAAGGATCTCCTACTGGATAACATGACCTTTTTGCAGTGCGTAGAAGCTTCATCGACCCTCTCAACTGCGTTGGAAGTTAAGTTTACTGACTTTTTGTAGAGCATATGTTCCAGGTGCTTCCTTGATCATATCGCGTACATCAGTCTTCGGAAATGAGTCGGATAGTGACGTTGGCTCCTCCTTCAACGCTGCAATCAATGTGATGCGTAAGCTTTCCAGCGGCAACGCTCAAGCGGCGCGCTATTACAGTATCCTCAGCAGTTTGCAGCGAGACATGGACGCATGGCAGAATCGAACAGCGAGGGAGAAGCGTCGGTCACCTCTACGTCCAGTCACCGACCTTTTGCAGCCTCTCAACCGGTTGCCAGACACAGATACTGGCGGCATCGGGTTTAACCAACATGATTTCGACGTTCTAGCAATAGATTGGGAGCAAGCTTTCATAGCGGGAGACGACTTGTGGTCAACCGCCCTTCCGTAGATCCTGCCGCTGGTCTGGCCACAGATGGGAGGAAACTGTATCCCCACGACTCATCGACGACCAGATCGGTAAGCTAACACCTCGAAAACTCCTGGCTTGCCCATAGACAGAACATTCCTCGCGAGAAAGGTGGACCAGCGAATGAGCATCTTCGTTGTCATTGCGATCGCGGATAGTATAGTTGTCGCTGTCACATCGACAACGTCGCGCTGCGGCAAGACAATGTTCAGCTACGGCGCTCAGCTTGCACGAAGTGCGGCGATGACACGAGGCCTAGTGAGCCATCCCACACACCCACGTCCGCACCCCAACTCCTCAAGAGTGGATGGCTGGTGTTGAGTTCATCAACTCCATCGGCCAAGGCAGTATAGGTAAAATAAATGAAGCACAGAGAGTCAGCGACGTCCTAGGAGTTGAATCGTATGAGGAAGTTCTGATCCTATTGTACATTCGTCGTGCTAACTAACCAGTCAGGCTCGTCGATGAAATCTCCAGTAAAGCCATCCTCGACGACTGCGACCACCCAACATCATCGACCATTTTGGGCCCGTTTTGGAGCCCTCATGCCCCGTTTCTCAACCTTGGAGACAGTATCATACAAGACCCAGATCGAACAGGTCAGGTCACGTTCATGCATGGAACCGTGACCGATGTGAAGACCAGGAAACCAATCTTCAATGCCATAGTAGATATCTGGCAAGCTTCAGCCAATGGCGAATAGGACCTTCAAGACGGCAAGCAATCCGAGAACAACTTGTGCGGCAAGTTTCGGACCAACGAAAAGCGAGAGTATTATTTTTATTGTTACCACCCCCACCACGTATTCAATACCTACCGATGGCGCAGCAGGTCGGCTCCTTGAAGTCCTGGATCGACACTCTATGCGAACAGCCCATATTCATGTAATGGTGACTGCCGAGGGCTACAGGTCACTCACCACCCAGCTATTTCCACGTGCTGATCCTCACCTCACAGATGACACGGTGTTTGCGGTCAAAGAAGATCTAATTCTGGATTTCACGCCTTCAGATGACCCCAAGGCTTCCCTAGATCTGAAATACGACTTCACCCTGACCCCGCTCTCTCCAGGTATGACCAAAGGCTGGTCCCATACTGTGGTTTGAAGGGAATGGATGAATGTCGAGGCATCGGCATGGCCGAAATGAAATAGGAAGGGATCAAGGTGGCGCTGATCGAGACTCGGCGGCAGATATTGTTCGAAGTGTACGCGAGGCCTGAATGAGAATCTTTACGACCACAATAAGTTATTGGTTGGATTCGATCACAGTTGCGACTACCTAGACAGAAGCCTTATCAGTATGAGTTACTGTGAAATTTGGGGTGGATAAGATGAGAAGCGGATCATGTAATTTGAGCCATCATATTGCGCCTTTCTGCTAGGCTAACGTCGCGACACCGAACCCGTCTCTTACAAGGCTGGCACGGGTGTCATGGCTAGCTGATCTTCACTGCAATTTTCCCATTGTCTTTTGAGAAGTCAAGTCGTCCTGTGCGGCTCCAACCGACATAAGATCGTACTCTCCTCCAAGTCTGACTTTGGCCGCATCGCCCGCCACCATTTGGAGCAATTGTTAGCTCCTCTCGCGGTACTCATCGGTAAATAGCGGTCCGAGTGCGTTCACAGTAAGAGACCGCGAATATTACCCGTGACTTCGAGACTGCAGTGTTCTCTCTGGGTATTGGCTGACTAAATGAGTGCACACACGCGGGCAATCTACTGGTGGAGTTACCGAACTGGTGACGCAACGTCTACAGCCAATAAGTAGGGTATATAATCGGACTAAGAACTAGCAAGCACAAGCTGCTTAAAGAGCAATAGTAATCAATATATCCGTAGTCTGAAAGCGTAGGCGACTTAATAGTATCTGTGCCTTAGCTTTCGAGAAATGTTGAGTAATCAGAAGCTGGAGACTGAGCAAACATATATCATATCTTAGATATATTGTGTACCAATCGGTGGTATACTGTCCTGCTAGCACTGTAGTGAATCGAAGATATTATTCAAGCCTCCAAAATCAACATAGTAGGTTTGGCCCAAAACTTAGAAATCCAGTTCGCAGGAAACAGTCAAAGCCAGCGTAACGAATCCCAAATGGGCAACAAGGTTCGAGTGGGAGCCATCCAGGCCGAGCCCGTATGGCTCGACTTACAAGGCGGCGTCAGAAAAGTGACATCGCTGATTGAGCAGGCTGCGAAGGATGGGATCAATGTTCTTGGCTTCCCCGAGGTGTTTATCCCAGGATACCCATGGTGAGAACTTGAACTTTGGCTGCAGCTACCACTGGTACTGATACTAAGGGTGTTCAAGGTCTATTTTCACGGAGCCTACTATAACGAACACTGAGTTTATTGCTGAATATCAGGCCAACTCGCTCGGCAGAGAATCAGTAGAAATGGACAAGATCCGCTCCTCCGTGAAAAAAGCAGGAATCTTTGTGGTGCTCGGGTACTCGGAACGGGCTGGCGGAAGTCTATATATTGCTCAGTCGTTCATTGATCCCAGTGGGACTATTGTACTGCATCGACGGAAGATCAAACCAACGTATACAGAGCGGGCAGTCTGGGGTGAGGGCCAGGCCGACAGTCTTACGAATGTGATCCAGACTCCGCATTTTGGCAGGATTGGGGCCCTCAATTGTTGGGAGCATTTCCTACCCTTGCTGCGATACAACGAATATTGTCAAGGAGTTGACATCCATGTGGCTAGCTGGCCGCTGTTTTGGGATAGATCTAAAGATCTGCCAGGGTCGTACAATTCGCAGGCTAGTGCGAACCGTCTCACTGGCCAATTCATGGCCATGGAAGGTACTTGTTTTGTCCTCATCGCCACACAACTACTCACGGAAGGAAACCGCGAAAGGACAAAACTCTCCGACGTACCATTCGTCAAAACCCCAGGAGGAGGCTTCGCTATGATCTTTGGACCAGACGGGAAACCGCTGGTTCCAGCATTTGACCCGGGCCATGAGGGCATCCTCGCCGCTGATATTGACTTGGGGGCTATCGACTACGCTAAACAGGTGCTTGATGTTGTAGGACATTACTCACGACCTGATCTACTCAGTTTGAATGTCAACAGGGAACCAGCTAAGCATGTGCACTACATTTCGGCCTCAGAATCGCGCCTCATACACTCGGTTGATGAGTCTCACAAGGTTACAACGGAGTGACGTGAATGAGATTGCGATGGCTAGGAGAGATAAGCGATGTGGTAGGACTGCGATTCATGGATGACTCTATCGAGAATGATTCAGTGTCTAACAGTCATCTAAGGACGGCTGATTTGAATGATTGCCACGGTGATTGCTTGCCACAATTAAATGCTCCCCGTGCGCGAGGAAAAATTCGGAGCTCATTGACGTATATCGTCAGAATACTCGTTTCATCTTATTGGTCCTGAGCATCGACTTTGATTCGTTTCCTGATCATGCGAGCAATCCGGCCCCCGGCCTCGTTGGTTCCCAAACCAGGGGTTGCAGGTACTGTTGGCGAAATAGCCAAATGTATGACCACGACCACGTGCACTATATGTCCAGGTACCGGGCGAAGTAGTCTCACTCTTGAAGTCAGATACTACTGTCAATCACAGAGACTGAGTATCGTCGTCAGATACAATCTGGAGTCCTTCTCACCTGAGGGCAACAACTCGGTCTATCTCCATCTTACCAGCCACAGCAAACAAGGATGCTCGGTGGGAACAGCGCCGATAGATGCGCAGTGCTCGTCAATCTGTGTTCAGTTGCGCTGGTCTACCTGTCAGGCTACTCCTCGTCAATGTATGGTTGCATTGCTCTATGCTCCTTCTGGCCAGTGACCGAAGGACTGGATAAAAGGATTGTACGGGGGGAGGGATTCGCGGCAGATGGCTGCTACCCGTATCAGGCTAATGGTCCTAATGGTCCACTTAAAGGGGGAGTCTTCCGGTGTCTGATCGTCCTTTGACAGAACTCAAAACAAGCATTGGATGCTACATCGCTATATCTCGGTGAGCTTTGCACCGGTGTAATCCCTGCACCATGATCTCATGCGCATCGACTATCGACGTCTTCCTCCACATCTAAGATTGTACCCCACTAGATGCTTACGACGATGGATTCGAGCTTCTCAATCGCGGCTTTAGGCCTCTTCTTACTGAAAGCTAGGCAATTCCAATAGTGGAAGCGGATGTACCAAGGCATGCTATGGACCTCTCGACAGCAGAACCGCATTTTTCCCGTTCATCTTGTGTGGTCTGGACCAACTGTACCCTGTGATCAAGATCTGACGTCTGCAAAAGCATACCATCAAATGTTGTCCCCTCTTGGCTTTTTCTCCTAGATGTACAATAGGCCGAACCTTTTGGTCTCCCGTACAGTAGCTTTATACTCGAGGGGTGTCGTTATGTGGACAATTTAGCCGACGAGCTGGTTTTGACAGGAAATGGCAGCGCAAAATCATGCCATTTATTGTTGCACCGTATTATCGAAGCGATGCTACCATAGCATTTCCTGTGGACTGCCGACCAGACTCGGTGCCAACTGACCCGCTAAGGACGCACAAGGACCACCGGAGTTCTACCCCGCACGTGTCAATTTACCCTCCACGTTTTATTCCCGCTAAAAAAAAGTATGACCCCAGGCGAATCGCCTCCAGAAACGTGGCTTAGGAGTATACATAAAGCATAAAGACTAGCAGCCTGGACTGCGGCTGCTCGTTTCTGTCTCTCTTATCCTTGTCCCAATTCTCCCATCCAACTCATCCGGGAAACACCAGCCAACATGAGTAACGACGTCTCAGAGAAGCCGACCTCGGTCTCAGAGATCGAGGCACAGCACCCCAAGGTCGACCCTGTCCACCATGTTGTCGAGAAGGTCGAGTACAACAGGGCGGGTGCAATCGAGGCAGAAAACACCGAACACAGGATGACTGTGCTCGAGGCTGTCCGAGCCTACCCTGCTGCCAGCTGGTGGGCATTCGTCATGTCAGCCACGATTGTAAGTTCCTGCCCGCAGTTGCCAGGTCATTTCTCTAACCGTCAACAGATCATGGAGTCATACTGTGTCTTCCTGATGGGAAATTTCATAGCCACGGCCAAATTCGCCGAGAACTATGGCAAATACAACGCGGAACAACAAAAGTGGCTCATCACGGCTCCCTGGCAGTCAGCGTTCCAGTGTGGTGGACCAGTTGGTGCATTCATCGGCGTCTTCCTGGCAGGTCCCATTACCAGCTGGATCGGATACCGATGGGCAACCATTGGCGGTCTCATGGTCTTGAACTGCTTCATCTTCATCTTCTATTTCGCCGACTCCTCGGGAGTGTTCCTGCTGTCCCAGCTTCTCGAGGGCATTCCCTGGGGCATTTTTATCGCAAATGCACCCGCCTACTGCAGTGAGATAGTGCCACTGAGATTGAGAGCTCCTGCGACACAGATGTTACAGATGTTCTGGGCCATTGGGTCAATTATTGTCGGTGGCATCACCTATCACTACCAATCCATGGACAGCGACAAATCGTACAGGTTCGTACGCTCCCGCAGCTTTAATAGAGGAGCACTGTGCTAACACCATTACTAGAGTTCCCATCGCTCTCCAATGGATGTTTCCTACACCTCTTGCCATCCTCCTCTTCCTAGCACCTGAATCACCCTGGTGGCTGGTGCGAAAAGGCCGTCTCGCAGAAGCAGAGAAGTCCGTCAGACGCCTCGGACGTGCGAATGCGCCTGATAACCATCCCGCGGACTCGGTCGCAATGATGCGTCGCACGATCGAGCTTGAGAAGACCGAGAAGAAACCCAATCTCATCGAACTGTGGAAAGGCACTGATCGCTACCGTACACTTATTGTGTGTGGTGTGTATGCGGCTCAGAATCTGACGGGTAACTTGATCGCCAACCAGGCAGTCTACTTTTTCCAACGTGAGTTCTCATCCTCTCTTGCAACCTCTCGATAGACTAACACAAGCGTAGGCGCCGGTATGGCCGACAATACCGCATTTGCCCTTGGCCTCATTACCTCTGCCCTCCAGTGGATCATGGTTATGCTCTCTTGGATCCTCACCACTTACCTAGGCCGACGCACGATCTACGTCTGGGGTTCTTTCATCAATTGTGCGTTTCTGATCGCTCTTGGTATTGCGGCTTCAGTTGGTGGTGGTAAGGCGGCTACCCAGGCGCAAGCATCACTCGGCCTGATCGTCTCTGTCCTGTTCTGCCTGGGACCTGCCCCCGCCTCATGGGTCATTATCGGAGAGACGTCTTCCATCCGTCTCAGGCCATTAACTACTGGTGTCGGACGTGGTGCCTACTACGCAGTCAACATTCCTTGTATCTTCCTGGCCAGCTACATGCTCAACCCTGACCAGGGAAACCTCGGTGGCAAGTGTGGCTACGTCTGGGCCGGCACTGCATTTGTCTGCACGGTCATGGCTTGGATCTGGATCCCTGAGATGAAGCACCGATCTTACCGCGAGATTGACATCTTGTTCAAGCGTAAGGTCCCGGCTCGCAAGTGGAAGCGAACACACGTCGATGTGCAGGATGACGAGTAGATGGAGATTGGCCAGGAAGGCAGTGGCGGGGCAAGACCAGGAGCGACACGTTGGTGGGTGAGGAATGAAATGCATTATGTCAAGTCATCGGTGGATTGAGAAAGATTATAGCGGCGATCGAGCCTCCAAGGTGTATTGATCGCATCATGACAAGATCTGTTGACAGACAAGTTTGGACCTCCATCAAGCGACTGGTTATCTTTGAAGACCGTGAAAATAGCGAGAATACCATCCCACGGTTCGCTATTTAAATGAGGCCATATACCTTGCAATGGTATTTTCGGACGTGGCACAAATGGAGCTGATCTTCGCCACGCCGCAAAGAAATCGGCGTACGCCCTGGAGCATTATGAGAGGGAGGCAAAGGCATTTGAGACACTCGCCAAGCGATTGGTGGCGTCAGCATCAACCACCGGTCCGGCATCAAAGTAGCTGGCTCGCTGGGTCAGCGCGACACTGCTTCTCAGAGTAGCCGGAATCGTGATCACACGTTACGTTGAAAGTAAAATACTGGTCAAGTCTCTGGCAGATAGACATGCATCTTTAGACATGGGGGAAAGCGAGCAACATCATTGCAGCTTTGCTTTCTTGGGTAGGCTCCCTTGAGGAGCGAGGTCCAGCATGGAATGCTGTCCCACAGGAAACACACGATCACTGCCGAACGGATGCCTACACATGTTTGATTGCGTTGTGATGGTCGAAAGTGACAGGGATGTAACAAGAATTAATGTTGTAACGGTGTCTACTTAAGTCAATTCCATACGTGCGCCTTCTAATGGCACGCTCACGCACGCTTTACAGGTTTCCGAGCGTGGGACTCTATATGCGCCAGGAGGCTCGGTACCAAGCTCCCGAGCGAGGACCCCTACAAGTTACCCACAGCCAAGTCATTTATCCTAGGGTGATCAAGGGACAGACGTCACTTTCCCTTGCTTTGCACGGAATAATCTCAACGACCTGTCAAAGCTCAAATCTACTCCTTAAATTATCGAGAGCCCCTATACGTCGTAACTGCACGGGCCCAGACTAACGAGCGCGATGAGAGACTATTGCGCAAGGCGAGGACAGATGCATATCCAGAATTGTTACAATATTTGATGACTACGCCTCACAGCAAGCCACCTCAAGTCAGTTGCGCTGGACATTTTGACGCAGCAATTTCGCGATTACGAATATTGTCTCTTTAGCACGGGATTTTGGACCGTCAGTGCAGTCTCCAGCTTGGCTGCGTTCAAGAGCGACCGCCCTTAGGATTTGCACTTTCTGAGGCGTAATTTCGTACATATATCTCTGGGGTCTTTTGGCCTGACAGGACGCATGCGAGTTGGTATAATGTCTCCAGCCTGTCGTCATATTCAGTAAGTTTCGCAACTAGTCTTCAGTCCCGATTCCGCGATGTTGCTGGCACTTTGCTTGCCTTTCCTTCTCGCAGCCGTCGAGTCTCGTCCCCAAAGGGAGACTACTCACCAACGACGGGACAATGCCCTTGACAACTGCCTAGGTGACTACGAACCTATATACATCACCGTTACAGTCCCTGCAGCATCCGCCATTACAATTGTCCAAACCGAGACCTTGATCCAATTTGTCAATGTGCCGACCTACTTACCAGGGAACACGCCCTCGGGAATAGGTTTCGCTGGAGAGGCATCTCAGCCGGGCTCCAATGGCGAATCCAGCTCCTCATCTGGGTTCTTCCCATGGTCCCAGCTAGAAGGTGGCCCGGTGAATCCTTACAGTGCGCCAGACATCACAGTCACCGAGCGACAGCCACATCCTGTCCCATCCAACACTCAACCGTCTCCACCACCCTGGTCCTTCCCAGCGAGCAAGCAACCTTCCTCTTTTTCTTCCATGTATGGATCGAGTTCAATCTCAAGCAATCGACCTTCCCCCTTTTCAAGCACGCGGAAACCCGGTTCAAGTTCAAGTACGTATTCATCTACCACGAGTTCGAGCAGTTCCGGAACATCTAGTGCTACAAGCCCAACCCCAACTCCGGATGACTGGCCGGACCATACCGTCACGGCATATTTCGGAGCTGGAAATACGGACATTTTTCCTGCGGAGAAAATCCCGTGGCAGTATCTCACGCACCTTTGCTTCGCCTTTGCCAACACCGGTGGTGCCGACGTCGACTTTACTATAAGTTTCAACGAAACTCTTCTCCGGTATCTCAGCGAACAGGCAAATACCTACGGCGTCAAGCTGATCCTCAGCATCGGCGGCTACGGGACAGGAGGCCAATATTTCTCTGATATTGTACAAACAAACGAGACAATTGATGCTTTTGTAGGATCGGTGCAGGATGCTGTAGCTGACTTCGACCTTGCAGGAGTCGACCTTGGTACGATTTCAGCAAGCTCGTATATGTCCGCACTGTGCTGACATGTTGGTAGACTGGGAATTCGTGGGCAGTCTGGCCAAAGGCAACAACAGACCCGCCACTGATGCCGCCGGGTATCTCAACATGCTGAAGGCACTACGTACAGCTATGCCGTCCGCTGAGCTCTCTGCCGCTGTGCCGATGTTCCTTTTTCTGGAAACCAAGACTGCCAACAGCTCTTCCCTCACCGAAGTCGACATGCATCCTTATGTGGAGTATTTCGATCGTGTATATCTGATGGCCTACGATCTTTGGAACGGTCCCAATACCGCAGGGTCCAACGGCGCATTAGGCCCTGACGAAGAGACGGATCCCGACAACATTAACGAAGACCAACAATTTGGTTCGGAGGGTGTGCAAACCTGGAGCAACGCTGGCTTTCCGCTGAGCAAGCTCGTTTATGGTACGTAGGCCCTTGGTCACTGACAACTAGACGCTGACAGAAGATAGGTGTTCCTTTCTACGGTTACGGCTGGAAAATGCTCACGGTATATTTGATCGCTCGAATTAGTCGACAGCCTAGGCTAACGATGAACAGGATTCCGACCCGGCGAAGACAGGATTGTACACGAAATCTAGCGGCAAGTCAAGTGGAGATAGTAATGAGGACCCGGAAGGTACCTCTGGCTTCTGGAAGTGGCGAAACTTAAAGTCCCAGAACGTTGTTCAGCAACAATCCGACGGCAGCTATACCGCTGGACCTGGCTGGGTCTACGGGTTTGACCATTCAACTCAGACTCCTTACGTCTACAATGGTGACAATACGACTAAACCGCAGCTAATCTCCTATGATGATCCATATAGCTTGGACCTCAAAAGAAGTTATGCGAAGAGTCTAGGAATGAACGGGATGATGTTTTGGGCCATGTACGGTGATACGGATGACGGAGAATTGACGCAGATATTGACATGAAAATAACTCTCTGAAATGAAATACCGATACCTTCTGCACGGTTATAGTAGGTAGTACTTCCTTCCTAATAATATAAGAGGCTATAGGTGCTCATAAACCACGGGAGGTTCGTCAGAACGTAGGTGCCAGTAACTTTCCAGTCTTTTCCGATCAGTGTCAGTCGGCCAATTCGTTTGCTTGCTAAAAGCATCCATAAACTTAATCAATTGCAATTGCTCGTCTCTGTCCCGTAGGTAAGTCCCTATAAATCCAAGAATGGCGCATGCATTGAAGCGTGAGCCGATCTCCGGGTTCGAATAGCTGATATTGCATATAGTTCTAGCGTGATGCAAAATTTCCGTCTGTTCACGTCAGTCCTGGCTGGCTGAATTTAGGGATGTACATACTTCCACCTGAGAGTTGAAAGTTACGACGTCGACACCCCGAGGGCATTTGGAATTGTACAACTTCAAAAGTACCTTGGCAAGATGATAGAACTGCCAGGCGACCACTGCTCCAGTCAGCATCAGAATGTTCTTGAAAGATAAGACATACCATGCCATGTGGCGATATACCGAACGACATTGCCAGAAGCGAAAAATGGATGATAGTCCCCCGGCAGGTTTTCCAACCAGACATCGAGCATTACCTCGAGTTGGTCCGCATCCACCTCACCTTCTTCTCCTCCCCAAGCAAATGTGCAAGCCATAGCGGCCATATGGCATGCACTGTCTGCCCAGGAGCTTTGACATGCATGTTCATCAATCGACGTGAGCGTGTCAAGTCTGATTCCGTACCGTGGTGTCAATTTTGGCGAAGCTCTAGCAAGCAACGCCTGTCGGACATCTTGTCTCATGTACGTCCACAAAGCCGCTCCTGGCAACGAGTCCTGAGGTGGAAGCTGCTTTTGAGATGCAATAAGGCTGAAGGCACCGGAGAGATGAGCCCCTTCGTTCTCTAGGGTATCCGCGTATTGTTCGACATGTCGCAAAATTACCAAGGTCGCAAGTAGCGTTTCATCATGGCTGACGTAGCTTTCGTCAGATAACCTTGGAATCAAAAGTCTGATACATGCACTGCCATATTGGTCGTTCAAACTTGACCGAGGAAGAAGAGTGCGGCTTGAGTAAGCGAGACAAGCATACAGTAATACGGGCTTTTGGAGAGCCAATCTCGGCACTGTCAAGCTGAAATGACGCGATGGAGATGTGATATCCAGCCAAGGACCTGCATGGCTGATATAAAACGTAAAAAGGGAAGCCTCGAGAGGCTTACTCAAGATCTCGAGCGGTTGTGCGTCCGGCGCGGAACTTATAGATGTGATATAATTTCCAGAAATGTCTGAGGGCAGATTCGCGAACAGATCCTTACTGATGGCCCAGCACGGATCAAAACTTGAGTGGTCGTTCGGTCCAGATTGACTTGGAAGTTGAACAGTATGCGCCGAAGATCTCGAGTCGTGCCGTAGCCGGAGGTCATGATTCCAATGGCACTCTCGTTTTGCTTTTGTGCATTTCTCGCAGATAGGTCGAGTCTCGTCACACTTAAGGTGCCTTTGACGACATGTCTTGCAGCCAAATCGTCCTCTGGCACTGCTGCGTGGTCGTTTCTCAGCCATCTCATGCTGAAATTCCACTGCATGCTCTCTCAGCCCTTGACCAAATGGAGTATCCGTAAGCGAGGGATTTGATCCATAGCCTGTAAGACCGGTATCCCCTTCGAAGCCCACCGAGTCTGCTGACACTGGAGGTGATTGATTGAACAGCTGAAACGGCGAGGGTAGCGAGTGCATGTTTGTTGTCACAACGAATGCCGGTGATTCGTGGTGTGTGAGGTTAATCTGGGTGGAAGAGGACGAGAGTGGCGCCCCGCGTTACTTGGGGTTCTGCGGGGTATTTAACACCTCCGATCGGAACAGGAGACCGACATTGCCACCCCACTGACACAGGGTCTAGGTAGATACTTTATAAAACAGGACCAAAACGGCCCCTGGGATCAGATTTTATTGATCGTACAGTTCGCTACGGGTTTCATTCAACCTTCCAAGAAACGGGGCTCATCTGGAATCACAATTTTAGTGCTACTGGATTCATCCTAACCTCTCCCTTTACGACCATCTACCAAAAAGCTCGACATCTGCGGGCTTATTCGCCAGAATTGTCTCCATGTCCTTTCCGATTGATGGGTCCTCCAGCATCTTCTTGTAGATATCAAGAGCCTTCATATTCTCGATGACTTGCTCTGGCCGACTGGCACCAGTAATCACAGTGCTCACGTTCTCGTTGGACAAGCACCATGCAAGCGCCAGCTGAGCTGTTGTGCATCCCAGTTTTTTTGAAAGTGAGGTTAACCGACGAACTTTCTCGATCTTGGCTTGGCCCTCTGGAGTCGACAATGCTTTGCCAAAGTTGATCATGTTTTGTTTGTCGGATGCTGCGGCTCCTTCGCCAGTCAGACGCGAGCCTGCCGGTATTCCATCATTGTACTTCCCAGTGAGAACACCATTGTCCAAAGGAGACCAAATGGTGAGACCGTATCCATAGTTGCGCAGGACAGGCCGCAACTCCGCCTCGACTCTTTCACGGCAGAATGCATTGTACTGGGGTTGATCGCAGCTCGGTGGGATCAGATTATGGACTGCTGCCATGTGGTGAGCCCGTTCAATATCATGAGAATTCCACTCTGACGTGCCCCAGTACAACGCTTGGCCCTTCTGAACGATTTCTGTGAAGGCTCTCACGATCTCGACCATTGGCGTTAAGGGATCTGGACGATGAGCCATCACAATGTCGACATAATCCAAGCCCAGCCTGTCCAACGAGGCATTCATGCCTTCGAAAAGGTGCTTCTTTGAAAGGCCAGTATCGTTGGGACCAGGGCCACCCCAGAAAAGCTTTGTTGAAATCACAAGATCTGATCTCTTGAACTTCAAGTCTCGCAGTACTTGGCCAAATGCCTTTTCGCATTCTCCAGAAGCATAGACTTCGGCTGTGTCGAAATAGTTGACCCCATTATTCCATGCTTCCAGCATGCACTTCTTGCTCAAATCTTGCCCGATCTGCCCACCGACTGTGCCTGTCAGAAACGAAAAGCAAGAGTATCGGAGAAGACATACCAGTCACCCAGGAGCCAAAAGAGAGAACAGATACCTTCAATCCGGTCCGACCAAGGAACCTGTATTTCATGTTCCTCGGGTCGAACTGTGGTGAGCTTGTTCCATTCATGATAGCCATTGTATTGAGAGCTGCTTTGGGTCCTAACTGAGTGAAGGCTGCTGCTTTGGATTGTGACCAGAAATGAGTATTCGACAGCGTTACACCTTGTCTTAAATCAAAAATCCAAAGGATGCATTCGGATAGATCATCTGCATTTCCTTCTTGATTGAGAATGTCGCGGCGAGGACTGCACTGGCCCCGCTCGACGCGACCTTCCTTACAAGTTTAGCTTCCCAGACACCAGTGGCTCTCCGCAATTCTGCAAATTCCTTCCCCACAGCTTTGCGAGAGCACGAGCCAGCTCGAGGTCCACGAAGTTTACTATGGGTCTTGTCCTTTATTCCATCTTGCTTAAGCTGGAGATAGCCGAGAAGATCAGACTGTAATGAAGGAGGCTCCGGTGGAAAAGTCATGTCTGGAGACGGGTTCTTGGATATGATGACTCTATGAAATTCCTACTTGCACGATGTGTCGTGGCGTGATGATAATAATATACTGCAAGATATTGCCTATAGACTCCAGGTTAGGGTAGCTTCTAACAGTGTCCTAGTATTTTAATCGGCTCAATACTAAGCCATCATTTAATTCATGTATGATGAGGTATTCTCCTTTGTTCTAAAATGGTTGCTATCTTCCATATATCGCATCCCTACTTCGCCAACCATTCTCCAGCGGAGAAGTCGACATGAATTGTCAAAAACTCAGCCAAATCCATCTTACCTCTATCGTTCCCTCATTAGCTCTGCCAGATGGAACGTGTACCATTTCGAGTGAAGACCGCCTCCAAAGACTGACTTGTCTTCAGTCCGAGTTAGTATCCTCACAGAATTCCACAGCAGTCTTTGTTTCGGTTCGTGAGGTTTTTTCCAGACCGAGTTGCCCCATTTCATCTCTTCTGGCATTCTCCATGTCGTGTCTTGCTGCGATATGCTTGCGTGCTTCACCTCGGGCGCCACCCGTAATACCTTTGACCTCGAACAAATAGTCGACGTCTTCGAGCTGCAGGTTTGTGGTCTCTGGGAAAAAGAAGTACACTGTCGGTACGAAGACAGCATTAAAGACGGCAAAGATGATATAGGTGCGCCATCCGATATTGTTGATAGCTGATGGAGTAAACTCAACGACGGCGAAGTTAATAATCCAGAATCCAGCAGATGCTGCTGCTGCACCTCTGGCTCGCAATCTAAGTGTGCAAATTTCCGAAGCATACAGCCATGGTGCAGTGAGCCATGCTTGCGCGAACACTGTGTTGAAGAGAAACAGCATGGCGGCTCCAACAATGCCGGCAGCATAATTACCGTTGTGTACTGTAATCGCCAGGATAGCCATGGTCAGACACTGCCCCAAGGCTCCCATCATCAAGATCTTCCGCCTTCCAACTTTCTCGATATAGAAAATTGGGGGGATTGTTGCGAGCATGTATTCAAGCGAATTGAATCCAGCAACGAGCTGGGAAGTAGATCTGGTCATGCCAATTGAGCTCTGGAAGATGATGGGCGCGTATTGCGTGATTAGGTTGATACCGGACATCTGACATCCCAAACCAGCCAGTAGACACAGCAACATTCTCCTTCCGTTCTGAAGTCGTCCACCTCCGAACATTTCTTTGAAGCTGAATTTGCCAGCCTCATTCTCGCTTGCAATAGCGGTCTGAATTTCGGCATGTAACTGGACGACTCGCGGATCGCTGACACTGACGTTCTTGCCTGAAAGTCGAGCGATGACCTCCTTCGCTTCGCTGGTAAATCCCTTGTCTTCGAGCCATCGAGGGGACTCTGGCAAGATGGCGATGAGGACAAGTATCACTGCGCTGAATGCCGCCTGAAAAGCCACTGGAAATCGCCATTGTGCCGGGCCGTCGACAAAAGAAAACCCATAACCGATCCAATAGGATGATGTGACTCCACATATGCAAATCCAATTGAAAACGCAGGCAAGCTTTCCACGATCTTTTGCTTCACAGCATTCGGCTTGGTAGACCGGCACACCAGCTGTAAGGATGCCGATGCCAACTCCTGTGACACAACGACCCACGATCAACTGCGGCAGCTGAAAGGCAGAACATTGTATGACGACTCCGAGCAGTTGAATATAGATACCCCAGTTGATTGTTCGTCTTCTCCCCAGATAGTCGCCAATACCGATGACTGCCAGACTCCCAAGAAACGCTGTCAATTCGTAGATAGCAACTATTGTTCCTTGCAGGCCCGGGTCAGGATGCCCGAAGTCTTTGCCGAACTGGTTGTCTGCACCGATAAGGTTGGCCATAACTCCTTGGTCGTATCCAAACAGTGAGAATCCAATTGAACACACCACCGTGATTGCATTGACCAAGGTTCGACCCCGAAGATGTTGCTCGAGTCCGAAGGCATTCTTGAACAGTTTTTGAAGCATGATTGATTGGCAGTCCAAAGAGGGTGAATGTTTGATGCTTCAAGATTGCAATTCGCAGCTTCAGACGTTATAACACGAGTCTTTATACGAGTTCGGATGCCATGCGGAACAAACCTTTGCGTACGCCCGGGGTGAAACTGGGGGACACTGGGGGAAGTCGCAGAGAGCGTGGGCCTTGTGGTCGCGTGCCGCTTGCTTCGGCGCGACATACCGAAATCATAGTAGCGTCAGCAGGGGTTAGGCCTTTTTCCTGTCGATAACCACGTTTATTGCCTTAATGTCGAATAAAAATGGGGCTCGAGTCGGCCTTTTGTGCGGATCGCGGATGGCCGGCCAAGTTTGCAGTCCAGGAAGACGCTCATCTCAATATTGTCGACCCCGACGGATGGAGAACGACCCCGCGGGCTGCACCGACTCACAATGGACCCCAGGGGGCAGACGAGCTTCCTCGCCGAGCTCTTAGTTTTATATTGTTTCTCGGCGAGTCCAGGAACCCTAGTGGCAAGTCGCGGCGAGAAGCAAAAACGAACTCTAGAAATGTCCTCGGACCAGGTGAGAATACCTAATGACTGTTATATATTGCTGGCAAGATCACGGTATGGCAACATACCGCAGGAGGTCTCCTTATCCACAGAAGAGATGGCTTATGTACTGATTGCTTTAGCAGCCGCCGTGCTAGCTCTTTTTGCATACCCTGTCTTCGAATACTATCTTGACGCCAAAAACTTGCGACGCTTTCCGGCTCCCAGTGTTGCAGCTTTCACCGACCTTTGGGCTCTTCGTTACCACTGGACAAACTCGCGGTACAAAGCAGTCCATGAAGCACACGCTGCACTAGGCCCAGTAGTAAGGATCCAACCGAATCATGTCTCCTTCACAGACCCACGAGCACTGAAAGACATCTATGGCCATGGGTCCTCGATCATGAAAAGTGAATATTATGACAACGTCGCTGGTGATTACCACGACGTTGCCAATGCCACAGATCGAGCCGAACACTCCAGAAAGAGGCGGATCATGAGCCACGTCTTCAGCCAGAAGCAGATACTCACCATGGAGCAAGTGATCAACAATATCTTGGTGAACTTGGTTGAGGCTCTCGACAACAGGCTTTCCCAAGACATTGACATCCGATACTGGTTCAATCTCTTCACCTTCGACGCCATATCAAGTTTGGCATTCACGCAATCCTTCGATTTCCTTCGACAAGGTGATGACTTGACCCTGGGTCAGAGGGAAAATGGAAGCACGTATCCCGTCAAAATTGTGAAGACATTCCACGACGCAGTGTCTTATGCTTCATTCATGGGCCACGCTCGGCCCGGCCTTTCGGCTTTCATTCGAAGGTTCTTCACGTTCGTGCAGTCATCTTCAAGCAGAGCGATCGAAGACTTTGGAGCTGTATGCATGTACAAGACCAATCAGAGGCTGCGTAATGGCACAGACCGAGGTGACTTTCTGTCCAAGCTGGAGGAGATTCCAAAAGGTCAAAGCGAACCGATTCCCCATGGCGAGGTGCTTGCCGAAGCGGCTATCATGCTGAATGCCGGAAGCGATACAACAGCCAGCGCCTTGACAAACACCTTTTGGCTTCTAGCCAAGCACCCGGAGGCATTGAAGAAGCTGAGAGCTGAGCTTGACTTGATCATGGACGAGTCCAATATCCAGCCGCATTTCGACATGTTGATGGCATCGCCATATCTTCGAGCATGTTTGGACGAATCTTTGCGACTTCGACCACCAGTCGCAATTGGTCTTCCAAGGGTCACGCCAAAGGAGGGTTCCGAGATTTGTGGCTATTATATCGCTGGAAATGTAACGGTGTCTGCCCCTATACTTGAACTGCAGCGACACCCGGGACTTTTCCGCAACCCCGACAGCTATGACCCAGATCGATGGTTTGACGAACAGCAACTGCCGAACCTGCGTGAGTATGTTCAACCATTTTCAATCGGTGGACGAGCTTGCATTGGTCGCAATCTGGCAATGATAGAGCTTACTAAAGTGATTGCGACGGTTGTTAACAGGTACGACGTGGAATTGGCGTCACCTGATCGCGAATTGCCATTCGTCGAAAGATTCAACATGAATCCTGGTGACTGTCATGTTAGGCTCTCAAGAAGGATCCGGACTTGAAGACTATCCCTACGCAGACAATATTAACACGTTGAAATTAAGTGACACCGGCATCAATCATGCAGTAGTCTCATCGTGAAAGCGTTGTACGAGCACCTCTGCCTTCGTAAGAATATTTCTCCCAGGGCGGGCCTGAGGATTGAAAAAAGCCCTACGGAGGTTGGCGTCACACGAAGGGCAACGTTCTCAGCGGAGCGTGCGATACAGGTGCCATTCCGCTTGGGTTCGGCGCGAGACGCGGTAACGAGATTCTTGGCGAACAAAGCAATTCCATGCGTGATGAAGCCAATGCTGTTCCATGTTTGAGACCTTACGGACTCGAGGAGAACTAGCTTTCCTGGGTGTTGGAGTTGGTAGCGATGGACTTGTGATCAATAAGAACCCTCAAGGGGAAGTTTATGTCCCTTTTGCCATTTATCAGCATGATGTTGGGCACATGAGCGGTTGCCTCGAGAGTTGGCTTGCCCACGAACATGGACCGCAGATGGTTTCCTGTTGCGACGCATCACGGACGCTGAATAGTCCCCGGACAGTATCCGTTCAGCATGTCGGACTCAAAGAGACCTCCGGCCAGCTGGGCTCTGGGACTCGGTATTTCCAATGCAAAATACATGGCCATGGGGAATATGAAGGCACCTACCGAGCCACGTCGGCCAATGTGAGCTTCGATAAATGCTGGGATTGTCGGTTGCAGGGTTGGTCTGTTCATTACTGCTGTTGCAAAGGCCGTCGACAGAATGTCATGGATCTGTAGCAAGGGCCATGGTGAGATGGAATATCGCAGGATGTTAATGTTGAGTGTTGAATTGACCGGGTCCTTGGACGGCTGCGCCTGCAAGACTAGGGTTGATCGTTTGCCGAATGTGCCAAGTCTAGTATTCCGATCGACGCTCGAAGGAGGCGCTTCGGACCATGATTGCGGAAGCAAGATAGTGCCAGGGAATGGCTGTATCCTCCTTGCTCCTGATCGCGCTCCTGATCATGCTCCTGATCCTGCGCTTGTTCCTGCTCGTATCCTGCTCTTGTTCATGCTCTTGTTCATGCTCTTGTTCATGCTCTTGTTCCTGTTCTTGTTCCTGCTCTTGTTCCTGCTCTTGTTCCTGCTCTTGTTCCTGCTCTTGTTCCTGCTCTTGTTCCTGCTCTTGTTCCTGCTCTTGTTCCTGCTCTTGTTCCTATGTCGTCTGCGACGATAAATGGTTGGCGTGCGGTAGGTTTGTGGTCAAGGTTAAGTGCCACAGTGCTCGGAGAAAGAGTATGATAGGCTGTGAATATTGTAGGCCGGCCTTCAGAAAACATCGTATACACATTAATTTGAGTGTCAGAGAGGTGGATTGGTCAGGAACAGCGTAGAGAGGTGACGAAGCTGGATATTCGATAGCGGAACAACGCTTAAGCATCCTTGGACAATGGCGACAGGAGTGCTGGCTTTGAGTGGTTTTGAGGAACAGTTGGCCTGGGCGTCGATCATTCGCTGTGTCCTGGTAGTCAACCTTATTCGATTTTCCAATGCGACCAAGGTTCTTGATCACCACAGGTATTACCTGTGAATGGGTTCTTGCCTGCCATACTCACTAGCAGGCTAAAGGGGGGGCGAGCTTGATGACGTACCTCTCTTGGGCTGGAATACGAGCAACTGGGAAGAATGAATGACAAGAAAGATCAAAGTGTTTGTGATAGCCAGCTGTCTTGAGCCAGAAAAGACCAGAAGGTTTACTCGTGATATTCAGGTCCCTGGTGCATGGCCTCAGTCTCGTTTACATGTCCAGAAAGCAAGCAAGTGATGAATTCGCAGTCTCCGACCGCAGTCATCCAGTAAGCAAGTCCATCCGCAACCACCAAGAAATCAGCACAAGAGGAGCGGCATTGGAATGTAGAGCGTAACGAGAATTCCACATCCAGGCCACGGCAGGGACTGTCTCGGGAGTGTGAGACGCAAGGGTGTAGGAGAGCACGTCGGAGTTCAAGAGCAGCGGAAAAGGAAGCAGTCCAGGTCTGTTCATATCCAAGATGTTAAAGATGTCAATTCAGCTCCCTGTGTGCCATCAGCGGATGCCCTGATCCCAGCTCTTAGCAACCGTGTCATCCAGGTATCCTTCTCTTCAATGCAGCGGTGGAATGTCGCTGATTTCGAGGCGCAACACGCATTCCCAGGCTGTCGATTGTCCGTCGAAGGAGGCATCCAATGGCCATAGCATCATGAAAACGATGGTGGGTGGACTTTGCTCCGAAGGCAGGCGGGACGTAACGATCATCGGCTTCCGCGCTCTGTGGACGTGTTGATCAAGAGAGGAGAATGAGAAGCCGCTGTAGGAAGCAAGGTTGGGTTAGTAACATGAGACAATACTGCCTCGCATTGGCAACGATACCGCATTGGTAGCAGGGCACCAACACGCATAGTAAAGGAGACCGATGCTTGAGATGCATGATCCGAGGAGGTTGTTAATGTGCTCGTCTGCACAGAGTGACAGAGTACAGAAAAGAACCAGAGCAAAGGAGGAAGGTGTAGCGGCAATGCAGCGTGTGCAGCCAATCGGCCAGTCTTCTTGGCGATCAGCCCAAGTCTCGCTGTTGGAATGACTCAGAGCGCTCAATGTAACGTGGGGGTAAGCATGGTATTGTGTAAATCTAAGGGAGCGTCTGGCAGACAGATGTAGGCCTGCGCCAAGCTATCTAATAGGGAAGGTGCGGCGATGGCCCAACAATGGCCCCCCTCTCTCTCTATTGATGCTCAATAGTCTCTAGCTACTTACACTATAATTCTCGTATTATAAGAATTATTGTAAAGACTATAGGTCTATTATATTAAAAGGTGTTAAAAATCTCTTAGTTCTATATAAAAGAATATTAGATACCTATAAAGCTAGAAGCTTAAAAGAGCGTACTCTTTTCAATAGTATATATAATACTACCTTCTCGTATTATACTAAATCTCGTGCTTCTTAAAATAACTATCCTTTCTTAAACTTCTTTATAATCGAGGCTAGGTCTCGTTGTATTTATCCCATTAGTCTCTTAATCTTTTAGTTATTACTTTACTTCTTCTATATCTTTATCGACGGCTATTTTACTCTTTAGCCTCGATATACGAGGCTATAAACGCTATATTAATACTCTATCTTATTCTATATTAAGTTTATAGCTTTCTTATAAGATATAAATATCTTATCGATCTTATTGTCGTCGATCTTATTGTCTAAAGCTATAACAAAGTTATTATTAACTAAGTAGTAGTTAAATAAATTAAGTATAGCGGTATCTATTATATTTATTATTATAAATTTATTACTCTCTTTAAGATTATCTAGAAGTAATATCGATATATCTATAACTCTTATATATAAATCTTTTATCTATTCTTTAAAGCTCGAATATTAATTTAGTGTACTTCCCTCTAAATCTTATACTACGTTATAATTTTATTTAGTCTTCTTTATTTAATTTATAAAGTAAAATATTTCGTAGTAGACTATTAATATAGTATTATATTGTTTTATCTCTTTATAAAGGGCTTAATACTTTCTAAGAAGATATTTATATTTTAAATTAAGGGTATAAAATCTATAATTAGTGTATTTAAATCTTCGACGTAGTGTACGAAGTTTACTATTAATTTCTTAAAGGCTATCGTTTTAGTCTTAATCCTTAAGTATATTTAATAACGTCTATATTTTTTTATTAGTCTTTATATAAGTTTTAGTGTATTTTCTAATTTTTTCGTTTAATATATCTTACGTAGAGTCTATTCTCTAGTTTAAACGCTTTTCTATAATATTTAGTGTATAGATAATTAATGTTTATTCTCTATATTTAATTAATTTATTAATTTTTTTAGCGAATCTATCTATAGATATATCTTTTATACTATCGATCTTTAATAAAGGAGCTACCCTAATTTTACTAGTACTTATTAATATACTATATAAAATATATTTAGTAATTATTCGATTATACTACTTAAGGTAATTAATTATAATAGTAATCGAAAATATCTTTTTTAGCTAGATATCCTTTTTAGTCTTAGTTTAGTTATTAAGTTATTTATATTTCTAAATCTACTCTTTAATTAGTTTCTTTCCTAGACCTTTATTATAGAGATAACTACGTAGCGAGAAGTATTCGAGAGCTTCTATATATCGACTTTATTTATTTATCGAGAATCTTTTAATTACTCTCTTTAGTTTATCTTTCGTAAATTTCTTTTATTAATTTAGATAATCGCTTAGTAATTTTAGATATCGTTCTATACTTTTCTTTTAAGATTTCTTCGCTTTGATTGATTTTCCTTAGTTAATAATTATATTAAGATTACTTTTAGTATTTTCGCGTCGAGGAGTATATAGTTTTCTCTCTTTCTCGTATAAATTTATTTTACGTAGAAACTCCTTAGTTATATTATTTTTAATCTTTTTCTTAGATATCTCTAAGAGCTTATCGTAGTCTTTCTTATTAAAGTTAGAATCTTCTAGATTACTTATAGTTTATTTCGAATTATCGCTCGATATTATATTTTTCTTATTATTGAATCTCGTATCGATAAGTATCTCTAATATTGATATCTCTCTATTATTCTTATCTACTTTTATATCTAGGTATATTTTAATATTATATACTATCGGTTTCTACTAAGTATTATTTAGATAATTAAGTTCTACGGTTAAAATTACGGTATAAAGTATATTTTTCTATTATCGCTATAGAATTATCGATATATTTACCTCCAATTCCTTAAGTCTAGCTACCTTAAGAATTACTAATTCTCTCTTACGGTAGATATTTAGTTCTCGCTCTAGATTAAGTTTCGTAAGTTTAAAGGCTATAAATCTTTTATACTATTTCTTTACTTAGCCCTTTAGTATTTTATTATTAACTTAAATTAATTTCGCTATCTTTAGTACTAGCGTTATAGATTTTATTGCTTTCCGCGCTTTCTTTAATATAGATTACTTAATAGATTCGATCGCTTTTCGCTTTATATTCTTAACTAGTATAATTAACTTTAG